TCTCAGGTTTCTTTTCCACCCATGCAGGCTGTGCAGTGGTCCCTTCATCCGAATACCCATGGTATCTCAAGAAAAAGTGTCTGGAAACAGACATGATTTTAATTTCCATAGAAAAGAGTTACATTTTCTTTTATTCAGGTTCTTAAAGATACTGTCGCTGAGATGAACAAGGATTTTATGATCTTCTAAGTAATTTCATTTGGTGTCATAATTACATCTTGATTAATTCTATCCACATGGAAAATTGAGGGGTTTGTGGTTTTGATTTTTTTTTTTTTTCCTTATCTGCAGGGTACATTTTCAAGATTTTGTATTAGCTGCAAGTAATGTGAGTTGGGAAGAACTGTGATAGTCTGCAAAGAAAGCGCCTTTAGTGACTGAGAAGGGACAAATGACAGCTATAACAGGAGCAGGATTGTTCCCCCAATCTCTGCATTGACATTATGAGAATACAAAGACCCTGGAAGCTATTGCGCAGGAAAAAGTAGACTGGTAATACACATACCTCTGCCACCTCACTTCTTCCACTGCTGGCACCTAACAGGACACATCTTTTTGCTATCTTTCCTTCTCGGAGAGAAGCTCCTTACGATTTGCTGCATGTTGGATGAGACATCAGAGCTCAGCAGCCCCAGCCCTGATGCAGACCCCATGCAGCGTAACTTGCTCTTCAAGTGACAAGCTGGAGGACTGGGTGGGACTCTTATAGGTTTTGTTAAATCATTTAAGATTATTTTAATCCTTTTAACCTTGGCCAGCTGACACCACTTCTTGATGTTTCGCTGATGTTCTAAAAAAGTAAAATTTTAATTTCCTAAGCATCCAGACTTGTAAGTTGTTCTCCTGAATTCTGCCGTAGCCCCTAAGAGAAGTATGAGAAACCACGCAGGCTGGAGGGTTACTTGTACATGCAAGTTTGCTGCAATGCAGTTCCAACACTGTTGAATTCCCCAGCACTGGCAAAGTCTGTCCCTACTGAAAGCACCCACAACTTGTTTCTGGAAGTTTCCATGTGGCCTTCATCTCCTGCTGATTTGTGTGAGAACAAGAGACCGCAGGACCTTGCAGTATGAGTCCTGAGGAAGAGGAAGGGCTGTGGATACTCAGAAAATTCTTCACAATTACAACTCCTTTGAAAAATAGAATGGGTATCTCTTTTCCTTTCCCTCCTGCCATTCTCTCTGGAGAAATTGCTTCACAGTGAGGAACCTATTATTGGCCATTGCACATCATTAATTTTGGAATAATTTCTCTTCCGCTGCATCTGATGGTCCTGCATTACACTGCATAATATTGTCATCCCAGCATAGGAACCATTGCCTGTTTCACCAATAACACTACAGACCGGAGTTGCTCAGTCTAAGCGAGACCTGAACTAGACATCACAGAGCAGAGCAGAGCTGGAGCTGACATACAGCTATGCAGTCATGAAAATACATCCCGGACGAAGAAACATTGCTTCACGTAAAGGGACTGAGACTGCAGGTAATAGTGGTGAAGCTTGGAAGATTTTTCATCAGTCTTGATTAGAAATCCAGATTTCAGCAGTGTTAACCCACCCTATTGAGATATAGTTCACTGTATTTTAGAACTATACGGAGGGCTCAACACCTATCTTTGTTGTGGCAGAGAATACATTTAGTTTTACCTGTTTCAGCAGCAGTGAATCCACCAGTAGACCTCACTGTTTAGTGGCTGCACTGGGGGCTTTGCCCACTGGAAGAGCCGACACATGCCAGTGCCTGTGGCCTGGCCGGGCAGAGCTTATGGAGGCAGAGAGGGCACCAGTTAAACCTCCGAAAGCCTGAAGCCCAGACTAACTGAACCGAGGGCTGCAGTGTGTGTTGCACATAAAGGGGCTTTGCATTCAGCTGGGCAGAGAGCAGTGCTGAGCAGGCACCACCATTCCCTACAGCTACAGGACCAGTTCTTAATCTGACTTTACGCGCCGGAACGAAGTGTTTGCACCAGAGCAAGAGAGAGGAAGCAGGGCTAGGGATGCTTTTGTACCAGTACACTGCTTCTGCTCCCCAGTTTTTCTTAACAGTAATCTAGACACAGGTTTCCATTAGTCCACATCCAATCCTTACCCAGCTTGTAAACACTTTGAAGCAGAACTCTTTGTTTTTTTGGCTTTTACCCAGGTAAGTGGGTTTTGTAAGCATTTGTACAATGGGCCACAGCTAGCGATCCTGGATCAATACAAATAAGAATGAAAAATAACACTATGTTCTAAATTGCTATGACTAATTCCTTGTATTAGTAATACAAAAAACAATTCAATCCATATTGCAGGATTTTATCAGCAGCCAAGTACTAATTCAAAATTTTACCAGTGTCTGCCTGCTTTTCCATGGAATAACAGCAAAATGTATTTCCAGTTCTGATTTTGACTCATTAAATCCTGTTGACAAAATTGTTTAAGAATTAAAAACCTTTTCAGAAGAACTCTTCTCAAGGTGCACACATGGGAAGCAGCCCTCAGATATGTCATTCCTGGAAAACCCAACGCGACGTTAGGAGACCTGATACTCCTGCTGCAGCGCCTGTGCAGAATACAGAGCACAGAGTAAACTGACAAAATAATTGGATTATACATGCACAATTTAGACTTTCAGTTACTGGGTGCTTTCTTGCTCCTGGTTTCCACAGAAAAGTCAGTTTTTTGTTCCTTAAGTCCTTGTACTGCTTATTTACATATGAAAAGGTAAGTTTATAAAAGAGCTTTCCTATTTTACTACATCTAATAGTTAATAATTTAAATCTGTAGCCATTATCATCATATAGATTGACACAAATGGCATATGGATCATTCTGGGGATGAGGGTTAGTTTCTTTTAAGAGAGAATTGTTTTAGTTTTTGCAGGAAATTAATCAGGGGAATGGGCTTTGTGGAGCATGGAGCAAATCTAATCTGTTCTTTGTTCAAATTTGCCTTGCTCCAATTCCTAGCAATTGTAGACAACATGCTCTTTTGTTCGGGAGCCACTTGTTACATGCATAATTAGAGACTGCAGTAGCTGTGTTTAAAGAAAAACTGTTTTCCAATGTAATGTGTGATCTTGATAATAGTATTTTCATCAAAGGTAGCAATTACATTCATTAAGCTGGGACTGGCAAGGCAGCAAGGAAATTAAGTGGAAGGTGAATAAAAAGCTCCCCGTTTCTTTTTAGAATCTCGGTCTCTTTATAAGTTGAAATGCACCATGTTGAGCTGCAAACTGGAAAATACATACTGAATATAAAAAAAGAAAGAAAGAAAAAAATAAAGTCCTCCTTAACCTTTCTGAATAATGACCCAGAAGATATCCTAGGGACACCTACTATAGATGCACTTTTCAAATTAAAGGGCTTTATTCTACATTAATTTCTTATGCAAGTTTTAAACGAGCTCAACATATGATTCAGGTCTTTAAAGGCTCCAGGGCTCTCTAGGATTAATTCACTGTTCTTTTCACACATAAATTAATTGTTTTGTGTTCTCAAAAACAGCAAACAGCACATAAATCAACCGGTTTAGAAAAGACGCAAGGCTGGTACCTTTGGCAAATCACTGAAGTTTGCTATTTACACTTCATTATTACAATATGTAACTTTTAAAGGAAAAGCTGGAAAAGTAGGACAGATGTTGTTAATTCCAAGCAGATTTCTTGAGTGCATAACTCATTTTAGCAATTTGATTCCTTGAAAGACAAAGGTTGTGGAGCACTGGAAAGCCATTCCTCAAGCACTCTAATTATATTTTCCCCAATTAATAATTCAATTATACATCACTAATGTATTTGCAAACATTCCCACGTAAAAATATCTAGTTGTGGGTTTTTTAATTTCCCTCTTTTTGCCTTAAGCCTTCTAAGAGTGAGATTTGCAGATGGAAAAGTGTGAAAATCTGAAGACGTGAGCCCCGGAGCCCCAGGAGGGCTGTGCCCAGCCCACGGGCTCCTCCAGGCACTCCTGCTGAGCACGCACACAGCGATCTCATTTTTTAATGCCAAAATGTAATCCTGCTTTTTTGTTTTGTTTTGTTTTGTTTTTTTTCCCCAGGCACTGTATCTCAGGCTGAGAAGCAGCGGGTCCATCCCCTCGTGCCTTTGCCCTGTGCAGCCAGCCAGGGCAGCACACCACTGCAGAGAAGTTGCTACTTCAGATGAGGGCTGAGCCCTAATTTTGCACGTAGGCAGAATACCCCACTTCAGAGATCTCAGCAAGTGTCAACCAAAGCAGACAACACTTGCAGCAAGTGGGACAAGTTTAATTTACAAGCGCTTACAGCAGGACTGGTACCGAGCAGCCGGCGATGGCAGGTACCGTGCTCCTCCCGAGCAGGGATGTCCCAGTGCCACCCTGAGGCAAGAGAAAACTGAAGCCAGAAACTGGCTATTTGTAACTCCAAAAATAACTGTTTCTCCCTCAGCCCTTCCCAGAAATAGAATATAAAACCACAGCATCTTGGCCAAATCGGAATTTGCATAGTTCTGCAAAGCATTTCCTTCAGTTAGGAATGATTTAATTATTCTTCACTTCCTCTTCTAGAAATCATTCCTGGATAATGAGGTTAGCATAGAGCAGATATATTTCAGTCAAGAAATAGATGTAATTCAGTTCCAGAAGGCTTTTACAGTTTTTTAAAAAAAGAAAGATTTTTGGACACTTCTATACAGAGGCAGCAGTATAGGGAAGGTTGGCTATTAAATTATGACAGTCTGAGACACCAGATCATTGGGTGCTTTAACCTGGTGCTGTGTCAGCCCCTGAAGAATCAGAGGACAACCACAACTCTCTTGTGGCCCAGATTTTTACACAAGGGTAACAAGGCACATTTTAAATAATTATTAAGTAATGACAAGCTATATTACCTCCAGAGAATTGTTTATCTCTGCAAATTGAATCACTGAAGTCAAAGCGCAGTAGAGCTAAAATACTTCTAGAATAAAATGGAAGACCTATTGCTGCACCTTACTTTGGACTTTGGAAACAGAATCCTGCACGGCAGTCAGATATACTTTGTGACAAATAGCTTGCTGAATCTAGCTTTTATTATTCCAGAAACAATCAAAGTAACCTGCTATATCAATCAAATGTAGACATTCCTACAAATAAACTGAGAAAATTATTTTCTTTTTAAAGCATGATTGGATGGATATTGAGAAGACATGAGTAATTTGGAATTCAAGAAGGAAGCATAACAGTTTGTGTTTTGTAAAAATCATACAGTGGAACATAAGGAATTTTTCTCTGAACATGGGGAAAACAAGACTATGAACGTAAATACAGCCTTCATATCATATAACCATCTTCTAGTACATAATAGGGAGTCATAAAACATTTTCAAAGTTCAAAAAGTACCTGAGCTGAAAAAAGTGCTTTGCCTCAATTCTTATGGGAACAATTGGAGCAAATGCTGCATTTGGTGTGTAAACATCCTCCATCTCAGGAACATTTTCTTTTCTAAAACAAACAGCATCAGCTTTTGCACTAAAACACATTTGCTCCATACTGACTGTATCTTCAACAGCTCCATTAACAAAACAAGTTCAATGGAGCTTTTCAGTATTTAACTATATTTCTAGAACCTTAACTTTAATTTCTGAATTATTCCGTGGTTATTTTTAGGTCAGAGTTGACACAAAGCTGTTCCCTATGAGATAAAATGCAAAAAAAAAAAAAAAAAAAAAAGGAAAATGTTGTACCTGCAAATTAGTATAATTTCAAAGTTGGCTTTTTTACTTCAGTTGGTCCTTTAGCTAGTGTTGGGTGCATGATACAGTGACACCACAAATGAAGTTATAGCAGCTAATACTTTTTACCATAACCTTTGCAGCTTCTGGGATTCTTCATCTTTCACACTCTCTACTTTTTGTATCCCTACAGAAAAACAAAAAATATCCAGAGAAGCTAGTGTCTTTCTAAAATGTAATTAGCATGTCTTTGGGTACCATCTAAACAAAGGCAGATAAACTCAGCGACACAGTATCAAATTAAAACTCGATGGCTGCTCTGGTTATATTGAAAAATTTGCATTTAATTTGCATCTTTAGGATGCAAATTAGTGAACAGAAAAATCTTGCAGCATGTCCTAGAAAACAATTCAGGCCAAAAATATCCAAGACACTTGCAGCAAACTTAATGTGATGAAAAGGATGATCAGAAAATTATTCTGTTCCTCTGACATGGAACATTATTTAAAAGTTTTGGCTGTATGTTCATAAGAGAAGGCAGGAAACAACCCCTCAACCAGGGGAACTTCAGCTCTGGATGGGTGTATCAGAGCTTCTTGTGTCCTGGGAAGTGGAGACCAAGCCAGAATCCTTCTGTAGGCTCCAAAATGGAAACTTTTCAATACCAAATCAATCAAACTCCGGGCACCCAGAGAGGCAGGAAATACAAACTCAACACGAACCCATCATATTGCAGCTACTCTCTCCCCTTTGGTCTCTCTCCACTAGGAAAGACAGTCATCTCCTAGTTGGAAAACATTAAGACATTTCTTAATCTGCATCTGGCTCTAAACCAAACAAGCAGAAACGCTCCGTTCCAGCTCTTCCCACTGATGAGCCCTTTCCCACCGTGACCCTCCAGCCATCGTTACGGATGAACCCAAGCTCCTTCCGAGTCCTGACAATGTCTTCAAGTTGGCTTCTCTCCTCTGTTGAACATACCCAAAGTGCTCCAGCCCTGACTTATCTGGCAATTTACAACAGATGTTTTTAAAACTGTCACAAATTGTGACAATGCTTTGTGTAACACTTAAAACAGATTGTAAGACCGCCAGGTCTGGCTGGTTAGAGAGCAGAATTTAATTTCAGTCCATATATGTTAATTTCCTGGCTAGGTGACCCCCAAATACACAAACTAGCAATGTGAAAGTTGGGGATTTATTGCTGTATTTTAGGTTTTCCTGTTACTATTAAATCTTTTTTTTTTTTTTTAATGTAGGAGAGTGGTCACAGCTTTTAATAACCTTCTTTTCTTCAGAGATCCCTGCAAAAGGTTTGATGAACATATTTTTCTGCGTGTTCAGCAGCTCTCATTGTGTATATTAAATAAATCCAGTTCTGAAAGTGCTGGTTATTTGTCTATTGAGAGAGTTTTCTGTTGGGGGGCAGTGCTTTTTCTTTAGGATCTTCAGTAAAGTCACCTTGAGATTTTTTTTGTATGTGTAGTCCTTCAGTATTAGTAGCTCTACACCTACTAAGACACACAGAGGAAGAAGTTTCAGAAAGATGTAAATCCAAATGAACTTGAAAGACAGCAGAATATATAAAAATGCTATTACTGCCTCTTGAGACTGTAGGTATTTTTGATTTATATTTTAAAATACCTTATCAGAAAAAATATTACATTGTACACTGCATGTTCTTTTGAACATTAATATACCAATACAAATCAACATTTGAACGCTCTGATCTATGAAACAATCTATTAGGAAACACACTGGTTAGTTCTAGTTACCTAATGTATTAGAAGGTTATTGCACATTAACAGAATATTTTTAGAGGATAATAAATGCAAAGATTTCAAAGCAGCTTAATAATGTCTCTAGTACCAGACAATGAGAAATTCCCTCAGTGCTGCTAAGCTGAACTTTGTTATAGCAACTGATCTTACACCTGGCATATTTAACTGAAATAATGATTGTAAATCCTGTTTGTCAGCCTGGAACTCTGGACTGACTATGCACTGATGTTTGTCTCTGGTGTGGGCTTGGAAAGAACTCTTGCTTCCTCTCACCTGTGCGTACAATCAACAACGCTATGACACTCAAATCCAGGACAGTAAGGCTTCCAGCCATGTCCCTTCACCTGCACCTAGACCGAGGAGCTACACTTCAGAGAAGACAACTCCTTGCAAAATGCCCTGCAACGACTGTATTTCAACACAACATAAAATGACAAATTGTGTGCAAAGTCGTTGGGAATCATACAATACATATTCATCTGCCTGTCATCTCTCACTTGATTTGTGTCCCTGACAACAGTTTGCACACTGAAAACATAACAGGTAGATATTTATGAAGTATTTGTGGTAGCTGTTAACCACTTTCACGTAATTCTCTTAGGAGATCTATCACACTGGTGCAGTGAATACATGCTGGGGTTGAGGAAAAATATTTCTTCAGCTTTCATGTACCCAGTAATCAAGCTCAGGAAAGTCGAGACAGCTGCTTTCAAAGCAGACTGTGTTTCAAATCGAGCATAGCTTGGTAGGAAGAACTTGAAATATGTCTCTCACCAAAAGAATTCCAAATGAAAATGCAATAACATGTTAATTAGAAAATTCTTTACATAGCAAAAGGCTCGCAACGAACAATTACTTTATATTTCATATAAGTCTTTTCTAACACAATCTTTATATGGGGAAAAGAAAATGTGGAAGAAAGAACAACAGCATAGAAAACCTCATATAAAATGTGGTATTTGAGTATTTCCCAAGTAGTGATTAAACCTTCCTGTGGAAACCTGCCTCAGACCTTTATCACAAACTAGAATGAAACTAAAGAAACCTGACAGATGATATAGTTGTTCTCTCTCAGTATAAAAATTGCAAGATCTGGGAAAAACTTTACATGTCAGATTACTAGAGAACCATCACCTGATACACAAGTCAAGTCAAATATAAAATTCAGGCACTTTTTAATACATTCCTAATACGGGTCTCTTCTTCTAACTGGGGAAGCCCAGGTGCAGCATTTGGTACTGAAGATGCTGTTCCAGGGTAACGGACTAGAATGTCTGGGCTGACTATGGGCATACAAAAGGAAAACTCACTGATATAAACACATATTGAGTATAAAGCAGCTTTGAGTCCTGCAATTAGCACAGAAAGCCTCACGGAGTTCACACTACCAGCCCTGCAGCCCTACACCTACAGGTGCAGCCAGCCAGCATCAGCGGTCCTGCGCCCACAGTGCCTAATGTAGAAATGCCATTTATGACAATCCAGAAATGCCTGTCCCAAACTGGACATGGGGTGCGGAGAGCAAGCAGCTCTTAACAGCTCCTGGACAATGGCACAGCACATCTTATTACTAAACCAACATCTGCGTTTAGGGCAGCAATGAATTTAGACTTAGGGGGATGAAACAAGTTAATTCTTCCCAGAATCAGCGACCAGAATAGCTAATGCTCTCCATAGTGGTACATGCCCTTTTAAAATGACAATGAAAGAAACTCAGTGGTTATAATTCATTTGTATGCATACTGCTCCATGGAATTGTGTAGACAAAAATCAAATACAATACATATATTTCTTTCAAAAGTTACTGTGTACAGACCGCAGCATATAGAACTGAGAGACACGAAATATTTACAGCTGTAACAATAGTTAAAGACTTGACCTTGCTTTTCGGAGAAGAACCATTGAGTAGCTGTTCAGACTGTTTCCTGGACTAAGGCATCTGAGTTCGGACTGTAGGAAATCACACTGTTTTGATTTTTTCCTGAGTATGTTTTCAAATGGATACCTGACACTGTTCTACACAAAGAGACAGTCCTTTTACATAATCCTGGATATCCAGCCCTTAACAGTATTTCAAAGAACTCTGCACTTCCCTCCATAAAGGGTTTGCTTTTAGCACTATATTAAATCAGTTAAGTATTGCCACTCACTTCCTAGCCTCACGCAAAACTGCAGAAGCCAAGCTAAGATAGTACCTCAGACCAGGAGACCTATTAAAAAGTATGAATCAAAACCTGATCTCTGCAAAGCACGCTAGGCTGCTGCAGCTAAGGACTGCCTGACATTAGCAAAACTCATCACATTAATCAACGTTAACTCAAGCATTTTGTTGAACGGTTATGATCATTTCGGACTCGCAGACAGACTACGTTGAGCAGAATAACTGTAGTTAACCGCTGCACGCGTCTGTAGTCTTAATTCTAGTCTTAACAATCTCCCCAGCTGTTTCAATTCAGATAAAAGGAAGCCTGCAAACAACCTGAAATGCATTAATAATGATAATTGTAATTATGATGTTAATAATAACAATGCTAAAAGAAAACTTAAGGAATCATCTAGTCTACCCTCCTACTCTTGTATTTTTGAAAATCTCAAAGCTGTTGATCGAACTGATATGGGAGGGGCTTTTCTTATTGGCATAAGGATAATTCTCACATTAATTATTTGCCTATCAACAGGCAAAGTGTGTGTGTGTAGGGGGATTAATTCACTAGTTACTTCCCTTTGAAGCTGACAGAAAGTCAGAGAACTTTTTAATAGTGCTTTCCCTCCATGCTTATTTCTTTGTATAAGGCACTACAGTCTGCTCCTCTTACAAAATCATACTTGTTAAGTATCATTTACTGTAGTTTTGCTAGAAAATCCTTTGGGAGTCTCAGCCTGTAACATTCTAACCTCCACTTCAAGTGAATCAACAGTGACTAGCAATCTTTAAAAATTAGATTCTTCTAAGTCAGCCAAAACCAGAAAACCAATCCCTCCCTCCCGAAAATACTTGAAACAAATTGCCAATTACAGCAATTATAATGATTTTTTCATATATTAAGCTTTCCATCTCTTGATTCTTAGTTCATTAGTTCTCCAGCACTGAATAAGTTTCTGCCATAAATAAAATATCTAATTTTAAAGTGAACAGAGAAGGATAAAAAAGCAAATACTTCTCAAAACCCCCCTCTCTTTCTCTCTCTTTCAAAAGGAGAAAAACTTCACTAGAGAAACACTAATGTCCATGAGTGTTTTCTAGGCTGCAAATTAACAGTTCCTCCCTAACTCCCAGGAAGGCTCTGAGGATTAAAGTTTGCAAAATGCATCGAACATGGAAAGGCCACTGTGAGGTAGTATCACAGCATTCCTATTACCTAGCTTATATCTCTCTTTTTGCAGAACTACTAGAGCTTTTTTAACCCCATTTCACAAAGATTTCAACTCAACCTTTTCTGAAAGGAGAACTATAAATAGCCTCTTAGATTAAAACCCTTAACAGCTGAGAAGGCTGGAAAGGGAGGTAGATATTATCTACCTTTCAGTTCTACAAATTGGGGCTGGAAGGGCTTAATTACCAAGATATACTTAAGAACACACTAAGGGCTGCTATAAAAATTACTCCAATTACAGCAGCTCCACAGACATCGCTCCACCAGGGAGAGAGGAAACCATCACTTCTCTTTCCACATACCTCTCCTGCACCCCATGCTAATAAAGGGCATCACGAACAAACAGCAGCTTCATGCCAAGCAACAGCCCTGCTGCACGACTGGAGTCCTTTCTCCCACGTGGCTTAGCAGAACCTCTCACGCCAGGCAAGCCAAGGATGTGGCTTCTTTTGTTTTGACTTTGAAATCTCAAAGTGGAGACACGCTGCATAACCTAAGGCAATAAAATAACTTCAGCCAATGTGTTAGCTTAGAAGTGTCTCAAGCAGAAAGAGATACCTTTAACCCATGATTTGGATTTGAATGTGGAATTCACAATTTCATGTGAATTACACACTCACCGTCCTGAAACGGGGAATTCATTGTCTTTCCTATGATTTTGTCTGTGATCATGTATTCTTATTTATGATTTTTATAATTACAAATAGAAGTGTAATTCACAAAGAATGTTCAGTGAAATAATTTCTGTTAACAGTCATGAAGTCCTTAAGGTTTCAGTATTCCTGTGCTAAGATTTTTGCGATGGTGCTCAACTGGATATTTGAAGTTCCTTCATATATTGTACCTGAAATCAGAAGAAAATAAATTAGAAGACTATAAAACCACAGTGAGTATATGAGCAGAGATCAAGATATAGTTCTAGCAGTCCAGTTAGAACATTTACAAAGTGAAGCTTTACTGAGCGAGTTCTAGAAACAATTATTATTTACATAAATATGCATATTTTATTATCTGGAAAAATTAAAATACTTTTCTGCTGGTACAACATAATGACATTTTCCTGAAAAGCAATTTCTAAATAACCAACAAAAATTAAGTATTTACAAATGCTATCAGCATTAAAACTCAAAGGGTAATATTGCTAGAAATGTCAAAATGTTAGGTCCGGGGATTATACAGGTAAACAAGGAAGTCTTGAAAATAAAACTCCACATACATTCAGATCCTAAAGCCAAAGAAAGTATTTTCAATTTTTCTGAACTGGAATTCTCTTAATAGAATGGGACACAATGTGTGTGTCTGTATTTTATTGGTATCTAATTAAACATTTTAATTAGCCTTACATACACAGGTATTTATACCTAAAGTTTTACCTTCTTATATTTGAGCCTTTGAATTAGCATTGATTACAGCCCCATGGAAAAAATATCTTAAAAAATAGCCAGTCCTTTGTCCCCAAACCTTAATACTACTAGTACTACAAGAAATACTTGTTAAGAAACTATCACTCACCTATCTTGCAGTCACGATAGTACTTTTCTATTGGATAGTTTTTTGTGAATCCAACACCACCCATCCATTCAATACATTTACTAGTTGTCAGTGTTGCAACCTATGAAAATAGTTTCAGAGTTACAATTTCAGGATTCAACTTCATGCATGTGGTAGTAAATTTTATTCTTAGCAGCTATTTAAAGTAAAAACGAAACAGCAATTAAAGCAGTTACTAGAACAAGTGGGAAGAGGAAGGACTGATATTTTTGTATTCATCTTTTTCATGCAAGTTATTTTAGAATAAAAATAACATTTTTGTAAATAAGAAGATATCAAGAATTCACTAACTGTTATTGCAATAGTTCTTATGCTGGACTATGAAAAAGACTAGCAGCGGTACGCAAGACAGCAATTATGAAGAAGCAGAAGCAATCCAGTTTTGTGTCTTATGACTCGCAGTTGTGACCAGCAGAGTTGAAATGGTCACAAATGAAGTCTCACCATGCCACTTCTCCAGCCACAAAAAGAGAACTCTGAGAAAATGAAATCTCTCTAGATGAGTGAAATACTAATTCACTTTCTCTTTCAATGTTGTTGCTCGTTTATAAAAATTTTATTTAGGGGTGTGAGCAGTTCATTATTTGGCAGCCTACTTTACATTCCATACTTGGACTCACAGTGAGAAACAAGGTAAAAGCACATCCACAGATCTCACAACAAAACATGAATTAGAAGTTATACATTCAGTAACAGAAAAAACATTAAAACAGCAGTGAAATAAATCCACTGAACAAAGAAACTGTAAGTTACCTCAGCGGCATAGTATTTGGCCATGCTTGCCTCCTTTATGAATGGCCTTCCTGTTTCTGCAAGACGAGCTGCGTTGTAGGTCAGCAACCTCGCCGCCTCCAGCTGCGTGGCCACCTGAGCTATCTGATGTTGCATCCCCTGTAATAAGCGTGCCACAAGTCAGACAGAACCAGTATCTAATACTCAACTGGAATCTATAGGAAGAATCATTGTTTTCACCAAAGAAAAGTTGGAGTTGTTGGAGCAGATCCAGAGGAGGCCATGAAGATGCTGGGGGGGCTGGAGCAGCTCCCCTGGGGGGCCGGGCTGAGAGAGTTGGGGGGGTTCAGCCTGGAGAAGAAAAGGCTCCGGGGAGCCCTTCGAGCGGCCTCCCAGGGCTTAAAGGGGGGGCAGGAGAGGTGGGGGGGGACTCTGGATCAGGGAGTGTAGGGATAGGATGAGGGGTAATGGTTTTAAACTGTCAGAGGGCAGATTTAGATGAGCTCTAAGGCAGAAATTGTTCCCTGTGAGGGTGGTGAGGCGCTGGCCCAGGGTGCCCAGAGCAGCTGTGGCTGCCCCCTCCCTGGAAGGGTTCAAGGCCAGGTTGGACGGGGCTGGGAGCCCCCTGGGCTGGGGGAAGGGGGCCCTGCCTGGGGCAGGGGAGTTGGGACTAGATGGTCTTTAAAGTCCCTTCCAACCCAAACCATTCCATGATTCTATTAACCTACCTACACTCTAAAATAAAACCACAAAATCTATATGGACTAGTAATCCTGCATATCTCTGCATTTATGACATTTAAGTTCGAAAGCCTCTGGGCCCCCAAAGTCCTTTTATGAACTGCACTCCCATTTTCTTCTTCCCTCTTCTTGGATTCAGGAACACTGGGGAACTTCTTGCCTGACTGGCTAGACAGCAGGATTCAACACGAACCTTTTTGCACCCATGAATATCAAGGAAAATTTCAGCCAAATCATAATGTTCTCCTCAGCAATGCAGAGGCATGGGTAGGTCAAAGCTGTATTTCTATTTTGCAGCTGCCTCTTCAGAACATTCATACGTTAATAAGTCTAGTTCCCTGATGAGCTTAACAGAGAAAGACTTGAAAAAAGTACCTCTTCATTAAAGTGGAGAACTAGCAAGGTGACAACCATGTTTTCCCATGTCCAGTAGCCATGAGACAAGAGTTAGGAGCAGCATAAAAATACAGAGGACATGACTGATGAATGGATTCAATGGGAAGGAAAAAGGTGATGGACCTCACATCTAAATGGTAGGTATTATGGAAGAATAGGTTTATTTAAGGAGACCCAAAAATTACAATCACTGAAAATGAACATTTAGTAACCTAACTTGCTCCTAAAACACAATGAAATCTTCCATCTTATTAGAACATTAACACTACTCCCTAAAATTTGCAAAAATATATATACAGGTCAAAATAACAGAATGATTTGGCAATTATAAATTCCATTTCCCATTCAAAAGATGCAGTTCCAATAATTTCCTAGATATCTGTGCGTGCTTCCTAAAATTTGTATAAATTGTGAGTAGTACTAATGTTCCTTCTCTTCAGCCAAGATGTAGGTTTCTTTTAACAAGAAAATTACTATCGTAATTACAATTATATATCTTCCTTATTAAACTATACATCATTTTTGCAATAAAGAGTCTTTTTCGTTTTAAGATACAGATATTATCTTGAAAACTAAATGTCTTTGTATAACACAGGAAATCTAATAATTCAATCAGTTTTCCTCATCTTTTTATAATTTCTAGTGTCCCCAGAAAAAGGCCTTCCCCCACACCTCATGAAAGGATATAAAAACTGGAACACATTCAACATACTGTATTATTAAAATTGAAAGAGAACGTAGTTCCATTTATATTATTTTAGGAGGTGGTGAATATACTATCAAGCAAAAAGGAGTTATGTTAATACTATTTTGAAGTTTTAAATGATTTACACTGTACTTGCAAAGGCACATAGCACTGAATTTATATATTTTACATGGCAGACAAATGCTTATCTGAAATTCTTCTGAAAATTCTTCTCAAATATTGAGAAGTAGAGACATGACACAAGGTGGAGCACAAATTACACAAATCAGATTACTCATTTTACTGACTTCATCTACTGTGGTACCTACTACTCTCTTGGAGGAAACTTTCCATGTGTTCATTAACAAGTACCTGAAAATCGAATATGCTTTTCCCAAACTGGACTCTCTCCTTTGTATAGGGAATCGTATGGTCAAAACACCCCTGTGCCAGTCCTAACATCTGTAAGAAATAAGACATACTGAGGTGAGTTAGGAAAAAAGAAAAAACAAACAACTTTGAGGAATAAGCCTATTCCATCCTATTCCATTCCTGAAAGAAACTTTCTTAAAGGCAAAATACGTGTGAAAAAATTATCATTTATTTCTGAACAAAACTTACGGGTCAACTGTGGATGCTCAAATACCAAGTGTTTCTGGGAAAATTCTTAATTACATGGGAAAATCATTGTAAACTGAAGATCTATAAATCTACATTACAGTAGTAAAGGAAAAATAATTTGAATGATTATTCAAAGCTATTTTCATAATTAAAATAATTTCTCATTTTACAGAAGACACTAGACTGTCAGAATTAGCAATTTATTTCGGAAGTTAGAAAATCAGTATAGTGGAAGGCAATAACATTTGTTCCAGCATCTTCTAGAAAAAAACCAACTCAACAATTTTAGAAGACCCATTGTCTTTTCACACAGTCTCTTCACTCAGCAGCAAAGACAGCAAAACAGAGTTGTTATCTTCCAGGTAACATCTGGGAAAACTACACATGAACATTTATAAAGAAGTAACTCACACCTACCTTAGTGTCTGATTTGTTAGGCTAGCGAAGCATTACGAAATCTGGAAAGTAAACTAGTTTTACATTTGTTTAACTACCAAATTTTGAGAAGTGTATTCCATTCCAAACAATACAGCAAAGAAAGGACCCTGCTTTTCCTATATCTTGGAATACATAGCTATTAGTAAAGATCAGTTGATTTCAGTACATAACTACCATACATCTGACCACATTCTTTCTACCTATTTTTTTTTTTCCTAGGGTAAACAAAGATAGGAAATTAGATTAGGGAAAGCATCAAACAAGGGGGAAAAAAATAAGGCAAAAGAATGGCATTAAGGACTATCAAAAAGCAAGGTAACAGTATATCTTAAAATTGGAATCTCATAAAATTTGTCTAAGTTAAGACGTGATACTACAATGTGGCAGTCAGCTGTTGCATCAAGCAGCTTATGTCAAACTACTTTTAATGACATATACGATACAATAGTGTATGGGTATTTTTGGATAGACCCACATACTAAGCTGAAAGCCAATGGTCCCAAGAAGATAAAAACATGACTCTGACTGGGTTCATACACCTACTCCGTCATTCAAGATTCCAGAAAAAAACAACACAATACACAGAAAAGTGAGTATGTGGGAAAAGAACATAAAAAAAATAATAGTCTGCTGCTAATCATCTATATTACCAGATTTGTTGCCGTCTTATAAAAGCTCATATAGATGAACCAAGTATATCAGCTTCAGCACCTGTAACATATACAGCTACCTTGCACTAAAACTATCTGAAACTGTTTTCACAGCCACAATTACATTTTATAAGATGTTCATTATCTTTTAAAACTGTTACTACTGCAAAACTAAATTCAATATTACAGGGCTTTAGAATTGCTGTTCTTGTCCATTCAAGTACATTTCTCTTAATTTGAAGGTGTCAGGAAAGTAGTAACTAAGATATAACAACTGTCTGACCTTAACTTTTAATTAGCTTATAAGTGTGACTTGGAGTAATTAAGAGTAAAATCCAGACCATGTACTTTACTGCCAGAGCCTCTATATTATTCATATCTCTGGGAACAATAAGGCCCACAGCCCTAGTTTTTAAATGCCATACCAGACAAAGTTTAATCACAGCTAATCTTTAGAAATGATCGAAAAGCCAACCCATTTAGCAACATAGTATACTGCCATGTGGAAAGTTTAAATTTCATGAGGACGATTACTTCTGGTCTGTCTGCAGACTAGGGCAAAAGATATAGGAGACTGATAGTACAGACATATTGCACCCTATACAGCACAACTACATCCACAACAAAATAGAAAATAAAAGAAAATATTACTTTCAAAAGTAAATTAAAATATAAAAACTTGTCATAAGTCATTTTATTATAGAGCTGAACCTGATTTCCACTGAAATCAGCAGCAATCTGAGATTCAAACTGAGTTTACAACAAAACACAACATTCTGAAGTAACTCCAAGTTCAGCAAATATTTTCCCCTAAGATGCCATAAGGTGCAATTTTCAAACACAACAATGAACTTGGACACTTCTGTTATAAAAAAAAAATATTTATTTTAAAAATAAGTTGTTGGGAAAACTTCAGTTAACATAAGATCACATCTGGCAATCCCATACGATCACAGTTGGAAACATTAATATTATACATTTCAGTGTTATAGTTTCCAAAGCTAGCTTTCTTTGTAAAATAAATTTGCCTAATGGAAGATAAAAATGTTGATAGATCTCAGTAGCAATAAATTCACCACCAAAATCAAACTAATTGCCATATAATGTTTTCTAAATCTATTGCTTATGTCATTGAAGGAGAATTTTACCATTTACAGTTGTTTTGTACTTTAGTATAATTTAGATACAGGAATAGTGACACCTAGTGGCAATTTAGTTTTTAATAAAGTATTTTCTAAATAGTTTACTCTTAGTAGCTTTAAACATTTCGTAAATGTCAATCCAAATTCAAAGTTATATACTGGTTGTATTTAGTATTAAACAAAATTACCCACCTGTGCAGCAATACCTATTCTGCCGGTATTTAGCATTCCAATTGCATACTTATAGCCTTGTCCAACTTGTCCCAGGATATTGGTCTCAGGAACCTATAGAATAAAACCACACAATTATTCCTGTTCTATTCTGCTTTGCAACTGCTAGTAGGGTTCACAGGTGAATCTGAGTACATGTTTTATTTATTGTTCCTCATAAGTGAAGGCATAAAACATAAACCAAACATTTGATTCCTAGAATATCTGATTAGAACATTTCCTGATACATGTAATTATAAACTCACAGCTGAGAAAAACTGTATTAAAATTTAAGAAACCCAACCCCCCTCAAGACTTCTGTGAAAGAATAGGGAGGAAAAAGTTAAAATATGCCAATCAATCAATATGTCTTAGGACAAAAACCCTGTGAATTTAGTTAACACTCTTTCCTTGTATGTGGTCAAGTTCCAATTATACACAAATTATGCTTCAATAGCTAAACAACTTACAATACCTTAACGTTTTCAAATGTTACTGGGCAGGTAGAAGATGCTCTGATTCCCAGCTTGTCCTCCTTCTTCCCTACATGTAGTCCCTCTGTGTTGCGATCTACTATGAAGCACGTAATTCCCCTGTGTCCCTAGGATAAATTGAAAAGTAATCAAGAACTGAGTTTTACACTAATATCACCAGATGGTGGTCTAAATATCTCATTTTAATACTGAAATTTTACACCTGCTTAATACTATATTACTAAATAAAACACTGACTGTCATCTTTTCCCTCTATGCCTGCTAATTATGATTTAACAAAGGCCAGAAATATATTTTTATTAAAATATTCCATGTGGAAAACATAATCAGAAATGTTTGCTTGATGAGACAGGGGACTGGTATTATGCAAATGGAACGGACAGGACTGTGGTGCCTGTCTATACTGGAAATCACTGGGAAAGCAAGTTATTGCTGTGTAGGGAATTTACTGCTTGCTGTTGGAACATATGTCACAGTCAAACAATGGACTGCAAGAAGACACTGGGTATCTTTAGACTAAAGTAGTCAAATGAATAATAGCTCTCAACCCATCTGTCAGATGATTCTATAGGATGCAAGACTTTATTTAAACCCAGTTACTTCAACTACTTTTCTCATGGAAGGCTGCATATATACTCTTCCTTTGAAGGCTGTCCTAAGCAAGAGCACTGATTGACGAGACTGGCGTCACTGTGCCTGAATATTCAAAGTGCAGCATAATTGTAACAGACCTAATTGTATCATACCAGCCCTAATCTAGCACCCAGAATTGGTGCACACATTCTCCTTGTGGAACATTGGTATCACTGTCTCTTCACTTTAGAGAGGTAGTAGGAATATAATTAATAAAATAGTCTGAAATCATTAGGATGGTTGTTATCAAAAAGCAAAAAGAGTTTATTTGCTACTGTCCCATATGAAAGTATTCCACATGATTATGACTTAATAGCAATTTAAGATTCATTAATGGTGTGAGGGAGATCAAGGCTGAATTTTAGCAGCAGAATGATTTGTGCTGCTATGATAATGATAAAGTGATTTGTTAAGATAAGTGATGATTAAAATAGTGTCATGGTTTAGGCCTGGTTGGTAGCCAACCACAATGCAGCAGCTAATCACCCTCCCTTCCCCCTCCCCACCTGGGAATGGGAGAGGGGATTAGAGGGGTGAAGGGAGACTCGCAGGCTGAGATAAGAACAGTTTAATAACGGCAATAAAACGAAAACAATAACGATGATGGGGGGAAAACAAAAAGCAATATATAACCAGGCAATGTACAGCATAATTCCTCACCACCCACTGACCAATGCCCAGCCCGTTCCCGGCCAGCGACCCCGAGATACCAAGATCCCACAATCGCAATCCCGGAAGCGAGAGAGCTCCTTCCCAGCCACCCCTCCTCTATACAGTGAGCATGACGTTCCATGATATGGAATATTTCACTGGCCAGTTAGGGTCAGGTGCTCTGGCCGTGCTCCCTCCCTGCTCCCTGTGCCCTTGTGCACGGGCAGGACATGGAGAGTCGGGGAGTCCTTGAAGTCTCGGTAGCAGCTGAAAACATCAGTGTGCTATCAGCATTCCTCCCATACCAAACCCAAAGCTAAATCCAAAACACAGCACTCATCTAGTCCCTGAAAAGGAATATTAACTCTATTTCAGCCCAAACTAAGACAAATAGCTACTGAATTACAATTTGAGAATGACAAGATTTACACTAACTTACTACACAGTATTCCAAATCAAGGGGGAGATATATATGTACATATGTATAAACACAAAACATACACACACACACACACACAAATACCAGAATATTTTGTCATCTGAGTTGGAATGAAATGGAAAAGTACCTGACAAAAGTCAATTGTCTCGGCCCCTATAAACAGCGATTCCCAGCGAGAGCCTTTTTGCTCTCCTGAGTGGCAGTGGGCTGTGGCCACCATCTCCCCGAGCTGGGCCACCTCTCGGGCTCCGACCCCTGTGAGTCTGAAGACCTGACAGAAGGCCAGGGTGAAGTCAGGCTTCCTCTCGACTCTCAGTTATTTGCAGACGCTGATGCACCGTGAGTATTTGCTCCAAACTCGAGAAGAGGGAAATTTTAACTACAGATTAGTCTCTTCCATCCACCTTTTTACTTATCTATGTGCTTAAATGCACATATTTTGCCTTTATAAGCGTGGATATCTATATATTTTACTGCATATCTGAATATTTCCACACTGTTTGTGTATGTTTTCTATTTATACATATGTATATATATTCTTTGATCTAGAATACCTTGTAGTAAGTTAGTGTGAATCTTGTCATTCTTGAATCTGTAATTAAGTCACTATTTTAATCATAACATATCTTGCCAAATCACCTTGTTAATCTTTAAATTAATTAATCATTAAGTGCTGCTAAAATTCAACCTTGGTCTACCTCACACCATTAAGAAATCTTAAATTACTGTTAAATCATAAGTATGTGAAATACTTTAATCTGTGGCAGGCATTCAGACAATGATCTGGACAGGGCACTAAATAATGCACATGACAACACATACATAGATCGCATAGCCAATCTAAATTCTGGCATCTCCTACATCTAGGCTTACAATCTTCACACTTTTGCTGCCTTAAACTAGATTCTTGAAGTACGGAATGGTGATTTGTGATACCTGTCACATTGTCTTTCTCCCTCTGTGCCATTATTATCCCCAATTCTCTCTCCTTTTCACCACTCATTCTTGCTCCCCTAGCATTTCCCCCAGTCAGAACCACAGCAGCGTCTCTTAATTACCATCCTACAAGGTCCATGAGACACAAATCCAAGGTGTTTCTGGCCATGTTTCCATCTCTGCCTGTCCCTAATGTCCACAGCACCTCCTCTCACTAAGCGAGTGACACTGAGAGGCAGGAAAAGTCCTGCAGTTCTTCTGGAAGAGTTGCTTCTTATTAAAGAGGAGGCTGCTGTTTCAATCTCTCCTCTGTGACAGCCCACCTCACCAAATGGGAGTGCAGAGTGGACATTTCAGTACCCCATTCTACATTGGTCTATTCTCTCATTTAAACTGACATCAACTGTTACTTAATCTTTAAGCAGCATTGACTTTTAATCTCCGTCTTGAATATTTAAAAGCAAATTTCTAACTTTAGGGAGACAATGTATTATATATTTTTAAAATGTTACACTAATACAAAACCAACTCCAGATTATATGGCAATGCACAGCAGTTAACAAATGCAGAAATTGACTTAGAAAATATATTTTCATTGTATGTAGTACTTAAATCACTCACCAGCTTGTGAAGAAATTAGTAAAAATTCAGAAAGTAACAAGATGTTCAACTGTTTGCTACAATTAAAGAAAACACCCTCTTCTTATTTAGTCAAAACCTGAAATTTTAATTTTAAAAATAATTATCTTCAAGTTAAATTTTAAAGAAAGAGATACTGGAAGAAGTTTAAAAATGAAGTGCTAAACAACTTAGTTTTGTATTTGACTATCACTCTACTGTATCGGTGTAGTAAATTTTAAAGCCTGCAGTTGACTTTTCTGAAACTACTATCTATATCCAAATTGGTGACAAAGCTTGACACAGGCATATTCAGCTATGTAATTTTTTACCTGAACATACTTTGCTGTTGTATTCTTGTTAGTTTTCCAGTGTACATAGACTAAGCTCTATTTTGCTTTTTAACAACAGCAACTTGTCAGTTAAGTCAGAAGGGCTGGAAAGGCTTAGACTATCTGTTCTTCTGTTACTCAGAATAATACCAATGCATGCTGTGCTCTTCATCTAAGCAATTATGATTCTGACATTTTTATTTTCCCTAGTGGGAGGAATTTATTAAAATGCTCAGCAAGTTCTCAATTTTTATTGGAAATATTTTTAAAGGTTTGCTGTCAGCTACGAAAAAGTTCAAAAAATATTAACTTTTAACATCAGACTTTTAATATAAAATCCATAGTTTCATATATCATCAGCTGTCATTGAAATACAACTCTTCTTTAGCGACTTACTAAGGACGGATCTGTATTTGCCATCACAAAGAAAACTCCTGCATGTTCTGCTAAACTAATCCACATCTTTGAGCCGTTGATAATATAGTAGTCCCCTTGCTTTTCAGCCCGAGTCTTCAAAGAAAAAGCATCACTGCCAGATCCAGCCTCTGAAAGGCAGAAACTGCCTATCTGACAATTGAAAGGAAAAATTAGTTTTCATTTTTACTGAACATATAAGCACAACATGTAACAAATTCTGCAATGAAAATAGTTATAAACAAGCACAAGTCTCTTAAATGCAAACATTTTAACCTATTGCATCAAAGTAACCACGTTTCAGATATGGAGATTAAGAATAGAAACTATGTAATTACACATCTCTCAATGTCAACTGCTTTAAAGTTCTTTTCCACAGTAAATTAAATTTTAAGGAAACTAATAAGTGCCTTTCCACTTATGCCTCTCAGCTACTGATGACAGGATCTATCTATATCACCACAGATCTCAGCTCTGAAACTGGTTAAAGTTCACACATATTTTCTAGTGCTGCAGTCATCCAGTTTAGTTATTGAAAAAAGCCACCCCACCAACATTACTTAACTATTAAACACTGTATTATAGTTCAGTAAAGTGAGAATTTAACTCACTGTATCCTTAGCGACTCTGGGCAAGTAAGTTCTCTTTTGTTCTTCTGTTCCATATGTGGTAAACAACCTATTTGTTAGCGTATTTTGGAGTTCACACAGAAGAGCTACAGCTGGGTCAACTTTGGCCAATTCTTCTACCACCAATATGACTGAAAAAAACGAAGCTCCCGTTCCTCCATATTCTTCCCCAAGCTCAATACTCATCAGCTGCAATGTAAAAGATGCAAATATATCAATCTGATGGTTCCTATCAGCAATCTGTTAGTCCAAGATGATACTCAAGAGATTAACCACAGAATGTATTTCCAGATCCTTCCCCAAAGACCTGTTTTCATTCAATAACCCTAACAAGCTAACAATTCTTCACAGAAGTTGTTAGTCAATTCATGAAAGAAATAACTAATGTGCAGTATACAGGCCAATCACCACCCCAATCTGATTACATTTTCCAGAACAATTGCAATCTTCAACAGAAGTCTAATATTTAGAGCTGTCATATAAAAGGACATTCTAAACACCGACAAGCTTTATGTTGATAGGTAGAAAGGCTAAAATTGAACCCAGGAATAAACATGAGTCCTCGTGGTTGCCCAGTGAGAACATAGAGGATTCCTGCTACCCCTTTCCAACAACACTTATCAGAGTCATGGCAGCTCTAGCATTCTACACAATTACACTTCTCCAATGTAAAAAAAAAAAAAAAGGGTGATGGGAGGCAATGAACTTTAAAATAAGATATAAGATAGATAAGATTAAGAATGTGGCATGGGAGAAGGAGACATGGAAAGAATATTCCAGTAAAAGATGGAGACTGATAATGCAGTAAAAAAGTACATAAAGTTGCCTTGCAGTTAAAGCAAAAATTTTTAATGATTCATTAGTTAATTTGAATTTTATCCCTCAATCTTTTAACCTAAACATCTGAAATGTGCACAGGTAGAGATTCACAAAATTACGTCACTTTCTGATTAAAAGATTAAGTAAAAGTGTGCAGACCCCTTGTTCAAACAATCCCTGTATTACAGAGTCTTCCATTTTCGAATTCTCATCCATTTTTTGCACAAAAGGTGTAACTCGTTCCTGAGCAAATTTTGTCACTGTGGTGAAGAAAAGAAAGAAAAGAGCGTAAGTATTCTGACACTCTCTTTGCAGATCAATATAACAGTAACGTGGTACTTCTGACAGGTTATGCATATATCCCCTGACTCTCCCAGACAAGTTAATAAAAGGAAAAAAAGTTGCTCAAGCGAAACAAGGCGATGTGCCACAAAGCTCAACTATAATTGCTTTCTGAACTTGGCTACAACTCTCTAAAGTGAAACAAATGCTCCCTATAAATTAAAAAAACTTTGAAAGCACCTCAGCAACACTTATATAACATCGGTTGACCCCAAGAATTATAGAAAATATTTCAAAATTCATCCCTTATTTGGTTAGCTATATTGCATTTCTTTATAAATTAAACCTGCAGTTTGGGAAGATGGTCTCAGGCTTTAACACATATTGTTTTGAGGGCACAAAATCCTGTAAGACTGTTCCTGTTTAACCCAGAGCCTTTTATAAACTTTCTCCTGGATGTGCAGGTCCTCACTCTTTCACCTTTGCTCTGAGGATCCCTTCTGAAACACCGTCGTCTTCAGGCAGGCCTGGCTGCATGGCAGACACATCACATCTGTCACCGTTCTGGGTATACCTGAACTCTCTGAAAACCAGCCCGAGCAGTTAACTGTAGCTGAACTAAACACTTCAGAAAGGGCATGCACGAGTCAATGCCAGGCAACTTCACTTGTGTGACAGCAACAGTTTTAAACAGTTAATATTTATTTATGCAGAGTAAACTGCACTGTGGTACGTGGAACTGTTAGGGTAACATGGAAAAAGAATATTAAATTTTTCTCTGTGAACTAAAGCAGTTTTAAAATTAAGCACAATCCCACACAATCTCAACATTTAACTAGAATGAAATAATGATAAGAAATTTTTAAGCTAAAATTTCCCTTCTAGTTAGACATTTCTGAATTTTAACTACACAGATAATAGGTACCCATATTTTTCAGCATTGTCTCCTCTTCAGTGAATGTTTGAAGCGGAGCACAGGCAACTCCATCACTGGCTATATTTGGCATGAGTTCCGATTTGGAGGATCTAAAGACACATGGAGAAGCCCTCCAAGGAGACAAGTACGCTGGTAAATTTCTTTTCAGCTGTTGACAATAAATACAGAATATGCAAACAGTTACTAGAATTTGTATTTGTAGACAGACAGTAGTGCACAATTTTACTCACTGTTTTTATTCAGTAAATGATTATGAAATATAACTTGCATTCAATGTCTAGTTTGAAAGTTTTTGAGAAGATATAACCCCCCTTGGTGTCTTAAAAGAAAATATCCTTTAATTACCCTTCTTTTAACCCCAAACAATTTTCTTTCTGGAAGTTTGCTAACACAATGTTATTCTACAAAGTATTCACAAACATTAATTTTAGCCAATTTTGGTGTTTATAGCAAATATTTTTTAAAATTTCTAGTTGATTTTGCAAGCCTGCAATATTCATAATAGTATTTTGATAGAATTAATATCTTCATTAACAAATATGGTAATAAATGTGAAAGAAACATACAAATGATTTTAACAGAAGACCTGTCAACTTTAATGATAGGCTCGGCTTTCCCCGTTTTCTAGGGACCAGCAACTCTTGTTTCTAGAGCAATGTGACAGCGCTTCATCTGGTTTATTAGTATTTTGCTGTGAAAGGGCATAACTTTTAACAGCACTGTGGATTTCTGTATTCACACTGAGTTCTTATCCACCGCTTCATGATTTTCAGAGTGAGTATATATTTGAATCCCTGTGTATAGTTAATTTCTAAATAGTTTAAATCCTATGGATAGGATGTTGATAGTACGATGTAACCAGTAGTTAATGTGTCTTATTTGGTTGATTTATTTAAAAATTACAGGAAGGAACTAAAATTGAGTAATAGATGCTTAGCCTCTCCCCATTCATCCACGATACACAATTTCAAATGATATTAAGCCGCGTTGCTTATCCAACCAAGAGAGTGTTTTACTATAGGAGGGAATGGCTTTACGCATATGTGGCAGAAGTCACAAAAATGAACAGAGCAGACAGTGGCTTTTGGGAGCAAGCTACACACAGTGATTGTCGGGTGGGTGGACATAGATTATGTGACAGGTAATTAGTTTTGTGCCTTGGAGACCTATAAACTACTTAGTGTTCAGAGACTTACTCAGATAGATAACAGCAGGCTTTAGAAAGGAATGTGTTGGATTTGAAAGTTAATATACTAGCCATAGAATAATTTCTTAAGATTTAAAAAAAAAAAAGCATAATGAATACAATCTGACTTGAAAAGTATCAGGCTAACAGCAGCTAAACCGCTGCAAAATGTATTCCTGAAAAGCAGTATTCAAAAAAGAAGCACAATTTCACTGAGTGATCTCAAGTGAGGCAAGACAGAAAAATGGTTTTGCTCTCATAGCTCCCCAAACCCAACTTGCTCTGTGGCTAACATCTATGGATCAGATCTTTGCTACTGAGATCTGTTACTACCACTGTGTCTGTCTAAAGTGCGGAGATATTAACGTCTTACCAAGACAACTGCTGGCAGAAGCCCCCAGTAGACACAGCTGTGCTATAAAAATAATGTATATACAAGCATATGCCTGCCAACATACATTTTTGCCAGCACACACTGTTAACGCCACAGTGAGCAGACCGACTGACCGTGCTGTAACCAGGCTGTTATTTAGCTCACAGAACCCAGCACAATTTTGCAGTGTACACTGTGATAGCAGCATTCCTGAAAAAACAGCAGAAACTTTGGAGTCAGGAAGTAAAAATTCCTTTGATCTTTCTAATAATTCATTCTCTTTCATGTTGGCTTTCAACACATGTCATCTCCCTGGCCGAAGAACTGATGTAAAACAGATACATGGTCTCTTTTCGTCTTCGAGATAAGATGCGTAAGTCTATTACGGTAAAGAAACTCCAACTTCAGCACAACCAGTCATGCATGACTGAAATAACAGTAAGAAGCATTAATACAGAAAACAAATACTGCTGTGAGCATTCAACATTCATTCACACTCAACACCCCTGGTCACATAAAACAAATACTGACTAGTGGGGCTGACTCATGAATACGATGATCAGCAATAGCTGCAACACTTGCCAATGAAGGCTAAGTTACTGGAGTCACCGTAGGTTTTCACAGTAAAAGAAAATAGGAGTTGCCTTAATAGAGATAAAATCCAATGCAACCATGTTCTGGAAGCTGTCAGTCAGGAATGGATTATTTGCAGAACATCTGGCTCTGGTAGGGTCACTCAACACCCAGACATGCAAGATCATTAAACATCCACCTACGTAAGTCCATATTTTTAGCAAGATCTGAGAAGGAAAACATAAGTATATGCACACGCACATACACACATATATATTTAACACACTATGCCTCTTGAGCAGTTATAGGATTATAAATTGCACATACTTCCTGCTTCTTCCACTACTTATTTACAAGTACAAAGAAAAGAGCATTTTTCTTTCATGTTGGCCTAATCAAAGATGAATAGCTGAGAGTATTTCACTAGTACTGACCAAGACCTGTCAGGTAAAATGCATGGTGCCCTTTTGAGAATACAAATCTTTTTGAAAAGGTGCAAGTAGGTACGCTCAGTAGGCAATTGGCCAGTCCTGTTGAAACAACAACTGGTAGTACCTCTGCTTTGCCTGACACTTGGATGTTGAATTATCAACAGAGCAGGTGAGCACATCACTAAATGCATGCAGAGGACTCTGCTCCAAACAAAGCAGGAAGTACAGATCTTGTAGACCACAAGAAATACACAGATTTTTCTCATATGCTTTCAAGAAAATGGGAAGCTGGACAAACTTGATTAAAAGCAGTTCAGCAAGGTCAAGCACAAGTGCCCAGGGCTGTATTGACTGAGGTGACCTGCCAATAGCCTAGCTGGCAAGTAGAAGCTGTGAAACACAAGAAATGGCTCAGTGTTTGTTACAGGTTACAGCCATTATAGCAAGCTTGCTCTTGGCAACGATGTCAAAGGTTTTGAGAAAGTTAGTGCTCACAGGAACTGTCCTTTTGTTCACTTCTCCACCTTCCCCTTTAGCAGAAATCACCCCCAGGCTTTGCCCCCTCCCCAGAGCTTTCACTTGGAGGCTCTTCCACTGCAACCAACCCACCTGAGAGCAGCAGAGAAAGGTGTCCTCCCGCGGCGGGAGAAACAAAGGCAACCCTCAGTGCATGTACACAGACGCGGTTTGATAAACGCTTGACACCCAATTGAGATGGCGTCACAGGACAAAAGGAATATTCATAACAAGGTTACCTTGAAAAGTCTGAAAACCAGTAGGATGGTCCCAAGTGATGGGACCTACACTGGCAACACCCACGCACAGAGCAGCAACCCACAGGTATGCCAGAGCAATAGCACTGTAGGAATGATGTTTTTATCTCAACATTTACATTTTAAAAAAATAATCAAGTCATTCTATTATTGTTTATATTTTTATTCTTAGAAGTCATGCAGTCATATAGTTTCACTATCTTTCAGTTGGCTATTTAAGGTGCATGCACGTTACTCAAATGCTTTGACACTGCTTCCCTGCTTATTTTCCTCTTCCTCTTTAGGTAAAGGTAATGATTTATGCTGCTACAAGATTCAGACTGCTTGCCCTGCTAAACACATGTATTTGAAAACTGGTTTCTGGGTTGCTGATAACATTGATTTTTCTGTTTATCTCAATTCTCACCTACACCTCTGCTCTTTAAAGATTGGTTATTTTGGTTTCCTTCTGTTTGTTTTACAATCTAAAATGAGATTTTAATGCTGGTGGACCTGGCAGCAGCATTAAGATATAAATAAAAAAAAAAGGCCAAAGCAATATATTTTTGTAAGCTCACTTTGCTTTCCGTAATGACTTCCACTCCTGAATGTCTCCTAGCTGGCCTTCAGACAGCTCCTATTTCTCAGCAGAGAAGCTCCATCATAGGACGCCTGCTTACCCTCATTTATGGGGTTAAGTATTCCTTATTTCAACAGTCACCACACACCCACAAGCTGCCATGACAATGTCCCAGGCCAGCATGTCTTCTCATTCTGCACAGTAAAAGCGTGCGTGTGGCACAGACACGGGTTTTCTGCTTGTTTCTTTTGTCTTTTGATTACCCCCCTCCGGTGCCGCACGTCTGTCTGGGGAAGCAAAGGGGACACCAAAGCGCCTCCGCTGCCAGAACCGCGCTGCGTCTCCACAGGCTGTGCCGCAAGAACTGCGCGAACTTTTCTTAGCAAATCACCTCACACCGCCGCGATACCAAAACCCGCCAGGCTGAGGGAGAAGTGGGATTTTCAAACACCGCCCCCCCCCCCCCCACGCCCTGCAGACCCCGCACCTTCCCAGCCCCGAGTCGTGTCCACCCCCACGCGAAACGCGGCTCTCCCCCTCCCCACGGGCGTGGACCGACGGCCACGCGTGTAAGCGACGCGTGGGGGGCTTCCTCGGCAGCCTTAACCGACGGCTGGAGGTGAGGGGAGAGTAGAGGGAAGGGGAGTGGAGGGATTCCCGCCCGCCTCCGCCGCTCCCTCAGACGCCCGGCGACGCCATGGCAACGGGCGCGGCCACACCCACAAACTCGGAAGCACTGGGAAGTGGCGGGGGGGGCGGGATATACCGGCACACCGTGGGCTCACCCCTCTTCCCCTCATCACCCCTCTCTCCCCGCTTCACCTTCCCGCAGCTCCTCAGCCAACCGCCCGCCGCCGCCATGTTGCCGCCTGCTTTCCACCCCCCGCAACGTCCCGCCACCGCCCCGTGCGCGCGCAGCGCGGCGACGTGCGGGACACGCCCCCCCCCCCCACCCCACCCCACCTCCACGCGCGCGTGCGTCGCGGTCTCGCGAGGCTGCGGTGGGCACAACAAACATGGCGGCGGCGGCGGGGGCGGCAGGCGGCGGCCGCGCTGAGGGACGGCGGCGGGGGTCAGTAGCGCTTTTTCCCTTCCCTCTTTCTCCTCCCACCCCCGCCACGCCGGGAGGGGCTGTGGGCGGCGGCGTGGCCCGAACCCCACCCACCCGCGGTGGCGGCCAGTGAGGTGCATGCCCGGCGGCCGCGGGGTCCCCGCCGGGGCCTCCTTTTGCTGTGAGGGGAACCGGGCGCCTCGCTCTCGGCTTCCCGCCGGCACCGGGGTGGGTGGCGGCGGGGAAGAAGACGTGCTGGGTAGCGGGGGGTCGGGTCAGCCCCTCGGCTTTCTGCCTTGTTTTGAAAGCGGGGGGGGTGGGGGACGACGACGACACGACACCCCAGATTAAAGCGGAGGTCTCTCGTGGCCGCGTCGCTTCCCGCTCACGCGTGAAAGCGGCTTTTTGGGGAAAGGTGGAGGGAAGGTGGGGGGGTGTTGGGACGCTGTCTGGGGTGGGAAGGGGGGCGGAAGAGCAACTGGCGATTTTCTGTGGGTGATGATACGTCGTGGGGCTCGGCCCGGCCGACGCCGCGACTCCTGTTCCCTTTCCCACGCGCAAAACTCTTTTGAGAAGAAGCAGGAACGGCTTGGATAGAGTTTGGGATCTTTCCTTATTTGTTATTCCAAGTCCTTTGCACTGGAAAGGATGACACTGGGCCAAAGAGAGATTACCTCCCTGCCCCCCCCCCCCTTTTTTTTTTTTTCCTTAATGCCTTAAAAGAAAACGGGATGCATACGTATACTTGTAGTCATTTTATTTTCTGCAATATTTATTACTGCAATATGCGTTCTTACTGTCTGTGTTAAACTACTGGTTTTACCGTGTCTGAATTACTTTATTTAACATAATTCTTTAGGCAAAATATTTGTAACTCCGTTCATCCTAGCACATCCTATGGTGCTTCTTAGACTAAACTTACTACACATCAGCACTGTAACTACTGTTAAATCCAACAATAGTGCCTGTGTAGAAAATGAATAACCAGTATCCTACCCATCGGTGTATAAAGCTGGAGAAGATGTAGTTGTCTGTGCAGAAAATGCTCTGTATAAGTAGAGCTTGAGGAACCTCTAGTGTGATCAGCCCATTCGAGTGCTTGAAACACGAGCTGGTCTGCTCAGGTTTCTAATAATTAGAATAGCGTTTGCTAGTTTGCAGTAGTGACATAGTAAGCATCTAATCTGTATCATTTGTCCCTGAAAAGGAGAACTGCTGGTTGCATATCTAAAAAATGACACATAAAATCACAAAAGGTTTTTTTATGCATACAGTTGTAGAGGTTTGAGGTGGTACTTAAACTGTGGCAACTTACCTACACTGCCATAAAAGAATGAGTGTTTTCAAATTAAATCAGATGAAGTAGAGAAATGAGGTTTTATGCATTTTATCACCAAAATAATGTATTTTCCCCAATCAGATTTTTAAAAATGTGTGTAATTTTCTTTTAAAATTAAAAGTAATTATAAAAGTAATTGATCAGTTAAGCTTTTGTGCCTTATGCAAGGAGATACACAGATTCTTCTCTGAAAATATGGACCTTTAATGTGTCATGTTGAACCATTCAACATTTAGAATGGTTTAATTTTGAATTGTTATTTCTTATTGTAGAGTCCTGACTCAAATTATATTACAATGTCCTGTTTTTCTCTTCCATATCTTTAATTGATATCCTGATACCTTTGTTTTATTGCAGGAGACACCAACAAATAGAACACAAATTAACTTAAGCATACCACGAGGCTGGTGACACCTGAAATAGGGTAGGCAAAATTGATTCGTAAAGATGTGTTCAAAACTAATTTAATCATGATAATAATTATAGTAGTTGGGCACACTTAGGTATGATGTGAAAGAACATACTCATCTGGATGCTAGGCATGAACTAACGCCCGTAAATAACTTTGAAAATACAGGAGAGTGTGTTTAAATGGGGTCTTCAACTCAGGTCTTGAGTTTTTGTAGGTCACCTAATGCTTTGTTTAGTAGCTATCGGAAAACAAAAAGATATTCATATTGAAAATGTAGCAATACAAATTAGTCCTGATTATAATCTGCAGGAATAATAATGTGACTAACTCGTTGCCCTTTTTCCAACTGAATCCTAAAATCTGTCTCCATAAATTCATTGCAAATTGAGACTCATTTGTCATTTACAGTCCCAGAAAAAAGCATGGCCAATGACTTCTAATGAGTATTTTTATTATTTCAATGCAAAATAATGAAGTGAATTAAGACTTTTATGCAGGATAAGAAGCTAAAATTTTGGGAGAACTATGAAATACTGCTTTCTATAAGGTGTCGTCTTATCTTCGTTAATTGGTAACATTCAGTTGATTTCACAACATTACAGTTACCATAACTGACTTACCCAACTCTGGGATTTTTCTGGAGCCGCATGTTCACCAGAGAAACTATTAAAATGATCAGGGAGATAGAAGGGTCTTTTAGGGATATACGTGAAAGAGTGGATGCAGTCTTTGACATGTCTTTGCTGTAAGTGTAATTGTTTTAATAAAACAGCAGTAGAGTCTTAGAATCTGTCTTTCAAAACATATACATTTTTTCAAGTTTGTTTCTTACAACTTGTGGGGGTTGGGAAGAATAATGGACCTACATTTCCTTTTTTTCTCTCAAGGGAAGGTGGAGAGGCTGTGCTCTGTGCTTTCTGTCTGACCTGTTGGGAGCACATTTTGCAGCATGTTTGCTACTTAGCAGGGAACTGAAGTTCAGGTAAGATCCATTTAAAAAAAAAAGTATTTTGATTATTATGTCCTTTTATCCATTCGATATTGTCCTTGCATTACTGTTGCTGAAAATGGTTTTCCCAGTCATATATATTTGGTGATCTTTAATGAGGTAAAAGTTCTAAGCCAAATATTCTTACAGTTGTCAATTTCTGTGTTGTGATGTATGATAAATATAACCCTCCACTAAAAAAACCCAACCAACCAAGCAAAAACAAACCCAAAACAAAAACCAAACAAACCCCAAACAAACTTGTTTTTATGAATGCATTAATATACAATGACACTTGTGTTTTGAAAATATTTTTCATTCTAGGCACAAGAGGTTGAAAACATAAATAGTGAATATGGGTGAAAAGAAGCCAGAACCTTTGGACTTCGTAAAAGATTTTCAGGAGTACCTTACACAGCAGACTCACCATGTAAATATGATCTCTGGATCAGTTAGTGCAGACAAGGAAGGAGAGACTCTTCAGGGAGGTAAGCCAATTTCAGTGCTATCAGATTTTATTTCCTTGAGAATGTACTGTTTACATTCTAGATAATTACGCAGACTGCTACAACTGTATGGAAGCATTTCACATCACAAGATGTGTATGTACCTTTGTTTTATAGTTCTGTATATTTAAATACCGTGGGCATAGAGAAGCAAAAGTTATCTGATGTATTCTCATAGCATGATAGGTAGTATCCCACTGATTCTTGATGGACGTCTCTGTTGTGTTATTCACAGCTGGGACCGAAGGTGATCAGAATGGTCTGGATCATCCTTCTGTTGAGGTTTCACTGGATGAAAACTCAGGAATGTTAGTGGACGGGTTTGAAAGGACGTTTGATGGGAAGTTAAAGTGTCGATACTGCAACTATGCCAGCAAAGGAACAGCACGGCTCATAGAGCATATCAGAATTCATACAGGTATGGAATATTCTCGCAGTATTTTGCTGTGAGACATTGTGGTATTAATTCAATGTTACGATTTGCATGAGAGGAGGAGTTAGAACTATCACACTGTTTAAAGATGCTTATAGTTACTCAGCAAAACTATTTTGTTTTTTTGTTTTTAAAGGTGTGCCATGTACCTGTTTAAATTATGTAAATTCCAGCTTACACTTATTATTGCAGACTACTGAATTTGAAGTAACTATACATGGGAGTAAAGTTTAGTATGAAAGTATCAGAAAAGTGAAAAACATACATGCTACCACATGGAGATTTATAGGGGCTTTTCCTTCTGTGTTGTTTAGTTATGAAGATATTCCTGTTTTGCACAACATTCTGGATGCGTAGGTACAAAACATAGGAATAAAGTTTTCTTATTGGTAGAATATTCAAATGTGAGGGTATGTCATCAAATACGGGATTAATAATATTAATGAAAACAAAAAGTACTTACTGTGCTTGTTTAAGAGCATTTGCCACTGTTGGGTTTATAAAGCTGAAAAGCAAAACTCTGAGTAAAGGTTAGAATATCCTAAACTGTTTGCAGAGTCAGATCCAACTTCTTGGCAAATGAGAGAAAACAAATGAAAGGTCCTTGTGAAGTTTGACTTCATTGTCTGCTGAGTATATTACACTGACACAGAAGACTTTATAGCCGTTAACTAGAGTATTAAGAAGAAGAAAAACTATATTCTGCAAAGAGTGGAAGTTTTTGGAGGTTTCCAGTCTGGTATGGACTGTCCCAAAACTTCTAAGTGTATCATTTCACAGGTCTTGAGTAGGTGGTATTCTGGGACTTGCTTTGAAGGAAACCACATTGTTGTAACGTGGGTGTAATTGTAGGTCTTTATAGGTATAGTTATTGTTAGATTCTCACTTTGCTGTGAATCATTGCTTCTGCACAGTGTTTTGGATTCAGTACGGGATTTGGTATGAGAAGAATGCTGGTAGTGCACTGAGATTTTCATTTCTTGCTAAGAAATCAAGGACTCTTCAACTTCTTGTGTCCTACTAGTGCACAGGTACACAAGAAGCTGGGAGGGAGCAGAGCCTGAGCTTGGGACCTGAATTGGCCGATGGAATATTCCATATCATACAGTGTCATGCTCAGTATCGAGATGAGGGTTGGTTGGGAAGCTCTGGCTTTTCCAGGATTGTGGTTTCAGGATTTTCTTCCCTCTGTGATGGCTAGCCAGGAACAGGCCAGGCATCAGTCAGCAGGTGGTGAGCAACTGTACCATATGTTACTTGTTTTTATATTCTATTATTACTATTTTATTTGAATTAGGAAATTTGGTTTATCTCAGGTTTCCTTACCTTCACCCCTCCAATTCTCTCCCTGTCCCCTGGGGTGGGGATGGTGACCACGTGGCTGTGTGATGTTTGGCTGCTGGCTGGCTTTAAACCACGACAGTTGCACTGGCCCTGCAGCGTTGGCTTGGCATTACAAGGTGTAGTGGCTGACAAAATGGCAACCAACTAGAAATCTAAGAGTTGTGAGGTTCAGACTCCGAAGATAATATCACAGAATGGCTCTGTGATCTTTTAAATTCTTCTGTTGTGCTACCATGAGCTACCTCTGTGTGTAGCTGTTGCTGTTTTCAGATTCCCGGTGGAAGTATTGTCTAGTTCCTATAGTGGATAAAATACCGTGGCTTGTGTACCTGCGTTTGACACAGCGTTAATGCGATGGCTTGCTGCAGATCTGGAAAGCAGCAATGTGTTTTGGAGTGTTTGTTTTTGTCTAGTTTTTCAGAAAGCAGTTACAGCGTCAGTTACCATTTGCCTCATGGCATGTGGACAACCATAGATATTTTTCTTTTAACAGCTTTGCTCTGTGCAGTGCTATTTCTGAGCTTGTGACATGAAGGTTGTGTAGTGGGAGAAACTGTACTGCAGACTTAACACAACTCTTTTTTAAATGATACTTAAGATGCAGAAGTAACATCAACTTTAAAACTTCATGTCTTTTCAGTAGCATATAGCTATTGCCATCTAAAAACTTGCCTCCCCAAGCCCACAGTTATTACTAACCAGTTGTCAATATGAGCAGATGGGCTAAACCTGTGACTGGAGACATAAATTGCTACTAGAAGATACTGGTATTGTGTGTTTGCTGATTCTTGAGATGGTTTTAATGGTTTTGGTGTGCATGGGTTTTCTCAAACTGACTGAAAAAATGTGTTGTTACTTAATATCAAATGTTATAAATTTTAGCCATACTAGAGAGAAAAAAATCAAATATTCCTTTAAGTATCAAAATGTGCGTGTTGTGTGTCAGTATTCCTTCTCTCACTCTAGGAAGTTGCCTATCTTTTTTTATACTCTCAGATATTAGGTTAACAGTTCTTTTGTGTTTACAGAATGCTTCCTTATCCTGCTGCTGCTTCAGGGAGTAGAGGTCATTAAGTGGCTAGAGGTAGCAGAACAATTCCTGCTTCAGACTATGACCATTTCAGCACAGTTGCAGCATAATATATACAAAAGCAAGAGATTCCAATAAAGAATTGGGATGCTGAGAAATGTCCTCAAAAATATCTGACCCAATTGTTGTTATTCAGAAGCAACCACTGTGTGGTTTTTAGGGCAAAGCATAATACTTTGGGTTTGTGCCTTGACTAACATTTTGAGTTGTTTCTTGTGGTTGTAGTATATGATATTGTTAGCATTATACCAGAACAAAGCTTGACATGTGGGATGACTGTTGTCTCAGTGCTGCTGCAGGTATTCCTGTTATCAGAGGGTATATGCATGACTTACTTGATCAAAGAAACTTTCACAAAGGTGCTAGGAAAAGGGAGGCAAATCAAAGGCACACATTACGCTACTGCAAAACCATGCAGTCTGATTTATTTCTGTTTCAGCTAGCTAGGAGTGAGAGAGGGACAGAGGGGTGTCAGCCTAATGTCTATTGAAGAGCTTCCGTAATTTGGGCACACCTTCACACAATGAACCCTTTTATAGCCAAATTACCTGTTCAAACATGTCTGCCTAATGAAATACCAATAACTGTACCATGCTAACAGTTCACTTCCCTATACCAAACTATAGACAAGAATCTCTGGCTGCCAGAGGCCTTTATGTTTCTCTGTGTAGTTTCCCCTTTGCCTTTTCACAATATGTTTCATACCCTTAAATTTAATACAGCACTGTGTGGTGTCCTGATGGCAACACCATTTTGCCATTACCTTAATGGCTCTTCAGGAAGCCCCGCTTTGTTTCTTTGTACAGAGACAGGGGACCCCAGAACAAGGAAGGATTTTTTTTTGTTTGTTTTGGTTTGGTTTTCTTGCATTTTTCTCATGTAAGGGCAAGGAAATCCAAGACCTGAGTGTAGTTTTGCTCAGAAGCATAGTGGGGAAGCGTGGCAAAGTGCCAAGAGATGGATTGCATGGACTCCGAAGGCTCAGAGTGACTGAATCAGCATTAAAATAGGGAAGTGATGGCTGGCGAGTAGCCTCAGAGCCATGTAAGTAAATAGATAGTGCATCCTGGATAACATGCAAGTGCAGCAATGTGTCTGCCAAACTATGGCCTAGGCATGATCATGGAACCATTATTAAGTGCAATTTACTGCAGAATTAACTTCATGCTGAGACTGACAGCTGTGTAATTAGTAGGTCACCAGCTGTGTCGTATTAAGGGTGTGCAACAGGGTGGATGAATCTTTATCCCTGTAACCAGTTTAGAGCGAAGTAAGACCATTTAGATTGACATGTTCTTTATGAATCCACAGAGTTTGTCAGTCTGTTTGTACCAAATCTCCAGATCTTTACACGTGTATATATATGTGTATGTGTTTCTATCTATCTATATGAATACATTTATATCCTCATGGAGAAACTGTGGTTTCAGTTGGTGCAAATGAGGTAGTTAAAGGCAGCACAAAAATTGCTTTCTTTCCTCTTGAAGAGCCAGTGATGTAGGGGGAAAAAACCCTTACCTTCTGTGCAGTATCCAGGTTGTGATTCCAAACTATGGGAAGGGCTTTCGGTATCAGTCACGTGCCATCCTATAGGGTCTGTACAGTATTCTCAGTGTAATAGTGGCCCTTACTGAATGCAGATCTCTGGCTTCTACTGTTGTTTTAGATGGTTTTTGAAAGCCACAAACCAGATGTATCGCATTTACCATTTAAAATGTCAGAAAATTCTTAAAAAAAACCCATGAAGGTGGAAGAGGAGCCCACTGGCCTTTTTTTTTTTTTTTTTTTGAGTTTGTTGGGCTGTGGCAAGAGAATCAGTTGCACAACAGCGATTTAGAAATCAGCCTGGCATTCTAGATAGGAAGATAAGATGATATTTCATTTCAGCGCCTGAATGTGCATCAGATCCTTTAGGACTTATCTAACATTGCAGACCTGGATTCAAAAACTCCTAGAAGATCAACCTATGAAAGGAAAATTCAAAATTTCCACAGTATTATGTTACAAATTTGGTGGCCTGTAATTACGTTTGAAAGTTTTCTAAGTACTTTTAGAAGTGTTAATGTGACTATTTCTAAATATTTAATAGAAGAGCAGAGTCCCACCTATCAGGAAGGAGAATTCCTGACTCTCATGTCTGAGAGAGCACACAGGTGTCCAGGGATTAGCTGACTTTTGCTCTCTTTAACAACTTCAGCCACAGGATCCTTTTTCAAAATTAAGTTCTTGAGTGGATGTGTGCATGCATGGGTTATTTAGATAATAGTTTCAGGCTGTTTAAAAGCAGGAATGGTTGGGAGATATCAAAAGGGTATTCTCTGTCAATGTTTAAACACGATTATTAAGAATTACTACATTTTGGTGGTATAGACATTCCTGTAGCCAACTACTTATGTGCTTTATAGATGAGGTAGAGTTTGGATCCAGCAAAGAGCACCACACAAACCTCATTGCATTCAGCCCTTGGTGTCATTGCTGCAATTCCTAGTCAGGTTATCTGTTATGCTAATTCTGGTCACTTTTTTTTTTCTTATGCTTACTATCACTTGGGTGAGGCAGAGATGCCTAAGTTTACTCTGCTCTTCCACCAAATACCCAGACTAGCAGTGACTCTGAAGCTGAATCTGATTAACAGCTCCCAGTTAGCTACTTTCTGTTCCATGAAAAGCCTTTTTCAAGCACTCTGAGATGCTCTAGCATAATCTATTTTAATTTTCTAGGTGAGAAGCCGCACAGATGCCATTTGTGTCCCTTTGCATCAGCTTACGAACGTCATCTGGAGGCTCACATGCGATCGCATACCGGTGAAAAACCATACAAATGTGAATTGTGTTCCTTTCGCTGCAGTGACAGAAGCAACTTATCTCACCACCGCAGACGCAAACATAAAATGGTGCCTGTCAAGGGTGCAAGGTCTTCTCTAAGTAGCAAGAAAATGTGGGGGGTTTTGCAGAAGAAGACCAGCAATTTGGGGTACAGCAGAAGAGCACTAATTAATTTGAGTCCACCTTCCATGGTGGTTCAGAAACCAGACTACCTTAATGATTTCACTCATGAAATCCCAAATATCCAGACTGAAGCATATGAGAGCATGACAAAAACAACCCAGAGCAGTGGGTTGCCAAGGGATCCACAAGACCTTATGGTAGATAATCCTTTAAACCAGCTCTCTACATTAGCTGGACAGTTATCTAGCTTGCCACCTGAAAATCAAAATCCAGCTTCTCCTGACATTGTTTCCTGTCAAGATGAAAAGCCTTTCATGATACAGCAGCCTGCTGCACCTGCAGTAGTTTCAACTGTGTCAGCAAATATTCCTCAAAATTCATCTCCAACCAGCCCAGATCCTCGGCCTACACACAATCAAAGGAACTATAGTCCCGTGGCAGGTCCCAGCAGTGAGCGCAGTGCCCACACCAGTACTCCCAGCATAAGTAACAGTCAACCAAGTACTCCAGCTCCAACCCTTCCAGTTCAGGACCCTCAGCTTCTGCATCACTGCCAACACTGTGACATGTACTTTGCAGACAATATCCTTTATACTATTCACATGGGATGTCATGGATTTGAAAATCCTTTTCAGTGCAACATATGTGGGTGTAAGTGTAAAAATAAGTATGACTTTGCTTGCCATTTTGCAAGAGGCCAACATAGTCAACATTGACTGAGAACATGCTTTCATTTAGTTTTTTAACATATTACAATATATTTTTCATACTTGCTGAAGGAGAGCTTGCACATTCCCATAAGGAATCTTCACATTAATCAATTTGAAAAATAAGGCAAATTTATTTCTATGTTGTCATAAAACTTGCCAGGGAAATTTTGTATAAGATGTGATTGTTATTTTATAAGCAGCCTTTCAAAAAAGCTGAGAGTGTTATAAGAATCAGAATGCATTTACATTCTTTGGTTGCTAAATTTATGTTGCTTGTACTTAATCCCAATAAACGTTCTCCAAATATAGAAGCAGAGCGTGTGTCCTGAAACATAGGATGCAATTATCAGACTGTTTACTAGGCAAGACAAAAATCTTTTAACCATAAATGCAATGACACGTATGGTTACTTTTGAGACATACCCTTAAAAATTTAGCTATTCTAAACTGGAAAAACAAACAGAAGCAATTTAAACACACATATTCAATTTGATGTAAAACTTGCTGTAATCTGAAGGTTACTAATAAGCTTTTGCTTAGTCTAGTCTAACTCTTCATGCTAGGGCTCAAACACTAATTTTAACTATTATTTGTAAAGCTCATCACAAAAAGTGGAAGGTAATGGGTTATTGTGAATGAAACTGGTAGGAAAAAAGAGCTAAAAGCTTGTCATTTACAAGTTATACAAGAGAAAAATTAAGTATGACACCTTATTTTAAACTACACTTACCAAAATTTTACATGTAATTCTTTAAAAAGGAGGTAATTTTTAGCAGTCATAATAAAGAGCTTGTAGAACTAATATATATTCTGTGAGATTAACTGCCTTAAACTAATTTGTACAGATGTTTAAAATTTGCACAATTAGACTTCTGTCTTGCTGATAGAAGTTCTCTTAGAAACAAACAAGAGGTTTACAAATCAAAAATCAGTTTTATCTCGGGCCAAGCTACAACTGATAGGTTGACTGTATGTTTGAAAGTTGTATAATCTAGTTTACTGTAAACTTCAGCTAACTTGGGAGTCAGTTTGTCTCGTCCCTTCCCCCCAAACTTGTTGTCCTTTGGTGTGCTAGAAATAAGGGGAAGGGCTTCTGGGTTTTTTGAACTGTTCATGTAGTAGACAAAGGAATACTGTCTGACTACATTTTGAGTCATTGTGATTGAGAATCGTAGGTGGCAAATGGTAACTGAAGATGTAAGTGAAGTCCATTGCACACTTTTTTTTTTTATACTGTACAGCTTACTTTAGAAGGACTTAGGCTAGTGGACAGGCACTTTAATATAAACCTAAATAAAACATCCTAGCAAAATTAATAAAAGCTCTTGATGCGTTACACAATAATTTGTAATATTTCAAAAAAGTGAAGAACTATTACTTTTCCCATATTTAGACATGCACTTTTACCTTAATTTGTCTTATTTCAGACAAATTAAAGCTTCCCTTATATATTCCCCCTTTACTATCAGCAAAATATGGCAGCAAATATGTTTTGTTAAAAGCAGGAAGATTTTATTGTTGTGCAAGTCAGAGGTTGGAATCTGAATAACAAATGTTTGGCTTATTCAAATTTATATTGTTCTGGGAGCTAAAGCTTCCTGGAGGTGATGGAAAAAACTAACAATGACTTCAGCATAAGATCCATGCAGGAAAAAACACCCATCTGAGAATTTTAGCTTTAGAAATAATTTTGACTTTAATAAATTAGAAATTTGGGAACTCAATATGTTTCTCTCTACCTGACTTACCTAGTGTTGGATTTTCTGTGCTGAAGTAACCAGTTGAAGGAAATGGATTCTTGGCTGCACAGAGTCTTGTAGGAATGGGGTGAAAAATACACCATTGAAGTATTTCCAATGTAGTGAAGATGAATGATAACACGTTGTCGAGCCTAAAACTGTTTTTGGTTTCAGGCCTGGTTCAAAGTCTGTTTCAGTGGATTTGTAAAACAGAATGTAATTTCTATTTTTCATGATAGTCTTTATAATTCCAAAATATCTCTTTGTTGCTTTATACTTTAAAAACGTGTTTTATAAGCAAAACTGCAACTCTGTGTGCATAAACATAGAGAGTCCTTTATTTTAAGGACTAAAAGTTGACTGAACGGGAATCCAGTTGGAAGTTACTGCTCCTGAACAGGTTTTACAGCATGGTTCTTCTAGTCAGAGAATACTGTAGAAATGATAGCTCTCTTTTGATCACATATTGACACATGCGAAAATCTAACTTTGGCTAAAATACAATATTAGAAAACAGACGTTACTGCTGAAGACTGCTACAATTAGTAATTTAGAGAGATAATTTTCCTTGCCTTTTGATGATGCAAACTTCTATTCCTGGGCTGTAGTGACTCCAAGGAAGCTTCTGGAATGGTGGTGCTCCAGGGAGCGCCTTCCAGTGCTGGATGATGCGGATCACAACAGCCAAGTTCTCCTTGGTTTGCAGCTCAGCCTTTCCCTCCTGGTATTAGTAGGGAGATTAACTCCAGTGCACGCGCTGGAGATTTCATCCTCTCATTCCATTTACACTGTTTCTGATCCATTAGGACGTTCACTGGCAGTGCCTGTAAACATTATAGACTTACTTTTTTGTGTCAGCTAATGATCTGGCCATTTAGAAAAATGACTTCTTAATTATGATGCCCCTGAACAAAATTATAAACGGTCGCTAATAGGTAGCAAGAGGAAGCCTGCATGATCCCGTTGAAAAGGGGCCCTGGTTTAGGAGGGGATCCTCCATTGAGGGGGAACATATGTTCTTAATAATAGAACTTGGTATGAAAAAAAAAAACTAACTCCAAACGTTGCAAATAGCTCTTTAGAAGTATTTTAATACTGATGACTTAATACAGTTGTTTCTGCTTTGAAGTACCTAAGGAATGGAAACTGAGCTTGAAGATCTATGAACTGTTGATCAATGATAAAAATATTTTTCCTGCTTTCCTTGTGCAAGCTCCTGTTTGCAGGGGGGATCCGTAGGCAGCAGCAGGCCTTGGTGTTCATCCCTTGATTCTGCAACCAGAGCCGGGGAGTGGATCGCTGCTAATTCTTAATTTTTCAACATAATGCTGTGTGTTCAGTTGTGCCAAACAGTACCCTGACTATATTTGTTTCCTTCTGTCTACTGAGTAGGTTTGGAAGGTGCATTTTCATAATAGTTTTTAATAATTTTGTACATACTACTTACTATAATTTAAAGACCAGAATTAGTACTGGAAAATGGTTTTAGAGTGTGATCCTGACAATTCCCTTGCACAAGCAGGCCTTATTCAGAATCAAGGAGGGATACTTGTCAGGAATTGTGGGATCGAGTTCTCGGGTAGTAGGACTTCTCGTACTGAGTTCTCAATGTGCTATACTGCACTAATTTGTTTGCCTTTTTTTTTTTTTTTTTAAATAACAACAAATCCTTGTATTATAAGGTGGTGATTAGCATTTTAACTTATATTAACAGGGAAATTTGGGAATGAGTTGAAATTTTTCCATAGCTTGACTCTTAAATTCTGTAGTTGAAAAAAAAAAAAAAACCAACAAAATAAACCCCACAACTTTGTGGGTTTTTGTCATAGATTATTTTATAGATTTGTTGACATTTTTAACATGCATTATTTATAGTGCTCTTAATACAGACTTATTTTGAGACTGAATTTTCCAATGAGCGTGCAAATATTAGACTCAAGATCTTAGTAGATTATCTCAGTTAATACTTAAACCAACTGTGAAGCAGCTAATAGGGAAAATTAGTTGTTTTTTCACAGATACATGTTTAGATGAAGAAGATGCTAACATAAAACATTGATTGGCATTTTAACATAAAACTCAGTGCTGGAAGACATGTTCCAACAGAGTTTCCTAGCAAAGTGATCTGTTGCTATTTGTTTTTTTTTCCAGAATGTTTGGGGGGGTTGCTTGTTTGCTTTTTGTTTCTTTTTGACGAAGGGAATGTATTTAGAAGTCTTCACTGGCAAGTTTTCTATTCATCTTAAGCTTCTTTGAAAATCTATGGCAAATGGATGTTCTGCTGCAGGAAATCTATCCCCTGCTGAAGCATTTTTCATTGAGCAATCTTTGTGTATGTGCTTCTAAGTACCTGCTTTGTTAATAATATGTATTTCAGTGTAAAAAGCGTATTTTGTATGCAAAAATGAAACTTGTTAGAGTTGTAAAATAAATTTTATTGTGTAGTGAATGTTTCAGATGATGAGTTTAATTCTGAAATAACTTGACTATATCTAGTGTAGTTCATGTTGTGAAGCTTTGCTTTTGTAAGATAGGAATAAAATAATACTTTCTAATTAAGTCTTATGTTAGTTCTTAATTGCATATGCTTCAAGAGGTGGAACTGATGAACTGCTCCTGACTAGCTGTGGTCTAGATAGGGTAAGGAAGGTAAGCTTACCTTTTGGGTAAGCAAGGAACAACGCATTTGTCTGCTTAATTTGAAAATGCTTCATTCTAGTGCTGACCCAGGATACACTTTTACTCTTTTCCACTGTTAATCTTGCACATTTGGTCATCTTCCAAATTATTTGTTTCCTTATACTCATATTTCCTTTTAATCAACTGTTTCTGTGTCTGAAATCAGAGTTTATATCGTGGTGAGGTGGTTGTTGCTGCATATGGCACTTCTATGTATGTTGCTGTTAGCAATTTTGAAAGTAGCACAGAGTTCCTTTGGACACTGGAGTTAATCTCCATGCGTGCGTATCTGAGCGCAACTCAAGTTTCTGGTCAGGGAAGCAAGCAGAGAAGCCAAGATCCATCCATCTTCTTGTTTTCGTACCTTCTCAGGGACGTACTCTCTGGAAGTGCTCGCTCCCCCTTCGCCAGAGCAGAGCAGGTCACCAGCCAAGGGGCTCTTCAAAACCTCGGCCAGAGGCTCCGAGCAAGCTGATCCAGCCTGACGTCAGTCCCACTGTAAGCAGGAGACAGGACTAGGTGACTTAAGTGTTCCTCCCAGGCCAAGTTTTTCTACGATTCTGTGAAATTTAAATAAAATCTAAGGCTGGTTTGTTGTTGGCTTGATCTTCAAAGTCAATACAGTGTGCTAGACTGTATTTCTCTTCCATGATATGGGGAGAGGAGGTAGAGAAGGCGTAAGCCTCCAGAGAAGGAAGCTGGATCTCCCAGATGTTTTCAGCTGTACTCCTGAAAGAGTACTGCATTTTAAACTCTCTGGACTCTTAAAAAAAACACGACTCTTTTATGTCATTATTTTAAAATGTATTTATTAACTACACTGGTTGCCTCATGTTGGAATGAAGAAACTACACTTGTAGCAGGGTCAGAATTTTGTACGCAAATTTGTTTTTTCAAATTATTTCCTTGCCGCAAATCTTCCAAAAATTCTGTTTTGAGTTTGTTGAGTTCTTCTGCCAGGCTCTTCAGCTCACTTGGGGGTATGTTTTTATCTAAACGAAAATTAAAGCTGAACTTAAAACTTCATGCTTAAAGACAAAATTTACAGACTTTGTCTCTCGTTTTACAACTATGACCAAACTTCTGAAGGCGATGGCCTCAGTCCCCCATGCAGGGTTGGGATTCCTTAACAATTTACCCCAAGGGAGTTTCACAGGTTTGGGCTTACTTGCCAGCTAGCACCCAGAACATGCTACACCCACCTTTTGCATCCTTCATTGCCTGAGAGATGATGCGTCTGCATGTCTGGTCAGCCTGATGGAGAGTGCTAGCTGCACAGATCGCTCGATCCGCTTCCTGTCCAGGGTGATCAACAGAAAGGAAAAATACATGCCAAAGCATTAAATTTGATTTCGAGTGTGATCAGCTTTTGAAGAACTCTTTGGAAACAAGGACAGCGTTAGCAGCAAGTCAGGGCTGGCACAGCGCACACCTGCTCCTCTGAATTTGGAGGCAGGTAGGGGTGGCTGGGTGGCTGCCAGAGGCAGGTCTGTGTGACAGTAAGATGTGAACGTTATTTTCCTCAGTGTGATGTGACAGCTCCACAGTCCTTTTGCTACTCTAGAACATGTAACAGTATTCTTGAAGGTAGCGCAGTGGTTTAATTTACAAAGGTGACAGAAGTACCCGTTTCAACTAGGATTAACTCTTCCAGGTATGGTTTTGTAATCAAGAAATGCAATAACTCCTCCTCACTTTCTGTCACCATTCTGTTCTGAATGCAGTCCAGGAATAACTCACTCATTCACCATCACCTGAAAGAGCCGCCACTGTGAAAGCAAGCAGTGCTACCTTTTGCTCAGTGTTTTCCTCGATTTGCTTCACTGGATTTTCCAAAGCAGTGGCCAGCAAACTAATTATCTGCTCACTAAGCAAACAAACAAAAGAGTAAACAACATTAATCAAAACAGTTTCAGTGAAGACTTTCTTTCATTTTGTAATGACACCTCATCACAGGAAAAAAAAATTCTTAGTTAAATTTATGAGGCAATCAATGAAATAATCTTTGTTATTTGTTACGTTAGATGAAAAATAATTACAACTAAAACTACAGCCAATTATTTCTAATGTTTCAGGTAATTTACATAAATTTTCAACAATAGTTTAGAAATACGGTTAGTTTTGAGATTAGGTCTGCAAAGAATGGTGGCTGTGGGTTCCCAACAACCAGCACGTACGGCGTGTAACTGCCTGGCTTCCAAAATTCACCATACAGAATGTTTTTTACATACTGTTTAGATACAGTAAAAAGCTTCTACCCCCCAGTTTATGAAAACACTATTTAGAAAACCCCCTAGTGTCGATCCAGTAGCATACTTATCCTCCAAAGTGCAATCAGAACTGTTCAGAATGAGGCTGTTCTGTTCCCAAGCATTTTTTTTGAGATCTGGCATTTCTATTTTTCTTGCCATTAAATATATTGTCTGGTCAGGTAACGGGTGACTTCTTAGACGGTTTCTCTGCAAGCAGCATTCAAGTGGACACTCTAAAAATAACTGGCAGAAGCTCAGGGAATCTAAAAGAACATAAACAGACCATTTTGACTTTAAACTGTTCAAGTAAAAATTTCTGAGAGCAACGTGCGCAAGGAAGGCTTTACGTGAATGAGGGACTTCTACACTAGTTCTGAAAACACATGCCTAAAAAGAATACAATTAATTTTACCTTCAAGGCTGCTCAAGTAGTAATTTCTGAGATCAAAGGCTTTAAGTGGCCTAGCAACCTCTAATAGCACAGTAATGCAGTTAAGTCGATGCTTATGATGCTGCAGGCATCTAGCAGTTGAAAATGAGTAATGTTCTACAAGAGGACTTAAGGAAAGGCAGCTGAAGTGCACCGAATTCCCTACAAAGCTGAGAACGTTCCTTTGCGCGGGAACAAAGCAGACTTACATTTGCGCGCCAGCTGGTACACCTCGTATCTCATGCTCCGGTAATAAAAATTGTCATCCAAGACGAGGTAGAGCGGCCCAGGCGTTGCCGCGGGTGTCCGGTCCCGGCCAGCTCCAGCGCGGCCCCCCGCCGGGGGGAGCAGCCCCTGCCGCCGGCAGCAGCGCAGGAGGCGGCCCCAGGCCGGCGGGGGGGCGGCCGGCAGCGGCCCCTCGCCGAGCAGCGCCCGCAGGAGCCGCTCCAGGGACTGCAGCACATCGCGGCGGCTCCCCTTCCAGCGGGGCAGCTGCGGAAAAGGGGGGGTGGAGGGGGGTGAAGGCCGGCTCTCCCCGGGGCTCCGCCGCCCGCCCTCCCGCCGTCCCTCCTTCCCCCTCAGGCCCCGCCGCGGGGGCACCGGCACCGGGACGCGCCTCCGTGAAGGACGCGCTGCCTGGCAACGGCCGGTGACGCCACCCAAACGACGCGCCGGCCAGCCAGTGAGAGCGCGCCGCAAGGGGAAGGACGACACCCGCACTGACCAATGGGGACGGCGACCCCGGCGGCTCCGCCCCCGCCTCCTCCGGCGGGATGAGCTCGTCGTAGCAGAGCAGGGCGCAGGCCCAGCCCGCGCGCTGCGGCAAGCGGCGGTGCAAGGCGCGGGCCAGGGTGGACTTGCCGGCCGCCGGTAGCCCGCACAGCACGCACAGCCCCACCCGGGCGCGCCCGGGGCCGCCCGCCTGCTCCACCGCCTCTTCCGCCGCCAGCGCGGCAACCGACCCGCTCACCGAGGGGGGCGACCCGCCCTTGTGCTGCGCGCATGCGCGGGGCCGCCGCGGGAGGCCCCCTGGCGGGCGGAGCGCGCCGCTCCCCGCCGCCCTGAGGGCGGGCTGCGCGCGCGCGGGGCTGCTGGCCCGACTCGGTAACTTCAGCGGGAACAGCGGCGATAAAAACTGAGGGAACACCGGTAATAAATCGCCAACCTCGAGGACGCGTTTCAGCGAACGCAGGAGCGTCAGGCGGCTCAGTGATGCCGCCTGCGCCCAGCGGCGCGTTTTGTTACCGTCACAGCATCAAGGTGAAGCGTACTGGCCCTGATGGTTTATTTTAAATTGGAGTATTGCAATATTATGCTTGTTAATAAGGTCTAAACGATAGGAATATTTAATAATAATCTAAGATTTTGAGGAATTAAGGAAGGGCGACACTTCTTTGGAGGACACTCCTTGCCAGTGCAGATTTTGGGTTCTTTCATCCGGCTCTTTGGTGAAATGGCCACCTAAAGAATTAGAAATACTCTCTTGGTGAGGTGATTCCATAATTTATCCACTCTTTTATGACAGTTCACATTCCCAAAGTTTGCATGAGGACGGCCATTGTGTGGTTTACTGCCCGACGTACAGACTGAGCAGTATCCACAACTTTGTTCTTGCCAGTGAGTTTTTCTCTGCATCGTAACTTCGTTTATGAGTTGCCATTTTGACAAACCATGTAACTTCTATACATTGCCTTTGCAATCCGTACTGTTTTTCTAATTGTCCCACTTAGAATGACGAAAGTTATCTGTTGCTTTTGTAGTGGAATCAGTTTATAGCAAAAAATTGCAAGCTGTAATGACCAGTAAACATTGCAACACTGTTAAATTGCATAATGTATCTCCTGATATACCACATGTTTTAAGAGAGATGGCTTGTTTGTTTTAAATACATCATCTGCAGAGCTTTTCTCCATTGCTAGTCTCCCTGGATAAGGTTACTTCTACAGACTACCTGAACTGGAAAGTAACACAGATAGCACAGATAGGCTGGGTACAGCTGCCTTCAGCTGGTGCCACGGGGGTCCCCTCAGCACCTGGCTGAAGAGATGGTCCAGCAGGCAGACATACTGCAGACTTCGCAAGAGATCAATCTACGTTCTCACTTCCACAGCAGCATACGACTAGAGGTGAATAAATTATGTCTGTGAATAACTGAATGCACTTCTCTTTGGCCTGCAAGTAAGGCTGCACTTCAGAAGAGTCCTGTTCTCTGATGCTGTTACAGATTTAATCTAACAAGAGTTGAACTTCGGGCTTCTGACTGAAAAAAAAACAAGAGGTGAGGTAGAAGAGGCACAAATACAGCCAGCAGCGACTAGCAAAACCGTGGGATGTTACAAAATCTGTGCTTGGTGCCTCTTAGTATCAAGTCTTTTCCAGAGGTGTGTGCTTTGAGAAGGCTTTTTGGCTGCACAAGGAGAGGACTGGAGGATTGCAATCTTTCATCTTTTTCAGACCAATTACTTGTCAGCAGTGGTTGAGGGCTCCCAAGAGATGTTTCAGACAGCTGGTGGAGGTGGGACAGCAGGTCGCTGAGGTCCTGAAGGAATCGGAGGAACCTGGGTTTGTACTGGCTGCCTGAAGTGTAGAAAACACATTTGGTGAAGTATTTCATGACTTGAGACAACTGGTATTTCTAAACCGGTTCTTTACCATTTTTAAACAGTTGCTAGCATTTGTACATATATTTAACTCTCTCTCCATAGTAGCGTTTACGTGTCCCATTGTGCTGTTTTCTATACAAGCAGTAAAACAGCATTTCTCCTTCAAGCATTTAACCTGTTACATGATGCTGTATGAAAAATCCTCCTAAGCAGGATATGAGACATTAGGAACTTGATTTACAATGATACAGCAATGTAAACATAGCAAACATGAAGTAAAGAAGGTTTTAAATATTACAAACCTTGGAACAGGGAAATGCGATACGGTAAAAAAGTCGGGACTTGATGTGGCAGGCTGGAAAAGGTGTTGCAGAAAATCAGGTTAACAGAAAACACAGATTTCAAAGTTTAGCTAATCAGTATTAAGCTAATGGTATTTTAGAATTGATTTTCATTTCCTGTGACTTTCTTCATAGTCTCTTGCAACATTTTGTTTTGCTGATTTTTATTTTGTTCTATCAGAACTAGATCCAAAGCCTGGCTAAGCAGCTTCCCTGGTATTTGGCTGTAGAATTCAGAGTTCAATCTTTGGCTGCTCTGCTAAGTAGCAGCTTGTTCCAACCCAGTGTACTCACAGCCTGTGTTGATGGGGCAGGCAATGAAGCTCATAATTACCCAAAGAGAAATCCTGACTAACACATAAAAATTATTGATGGTTTCAATGTATCAAAAAGCCACAAAATCAACAGGAACTATATTAGAAAAAAGGCACTGTATAATTTGGATTACTCAACATAAAAGAATGCAAGTATGTATCTGTCTTACCTGATTATTTCCTGTGTTATGACTTGGTCTGTTACTTTGCTTTGGTTCCTGCACATCGTTTTCCCTGAAATAAAAACCCCCTCATCAGGAAAATCCCTGTTTGATTTAACTACCTTCAGGGACGCAGCATTTTTCAAGGGATGAGGCTACAGCTTGGAGATCTGGATTCTGTTTCCGACTGCCCCTTTCTGGCCTTGGCAAGTAGTTTCAATATGCTATGCCCCTGTGTCCATGCAATACAGTTATCTATAGCAATTAGGAAACTGCAATGTATTTTGAGAAAAACTGCTTAAGAACTGACAACTGGGGTATCTGGATTAAACTACCTAATAGCAGGGTACTGGCTATTAAATGACATACTACTACTATTAGCATGGAAATCTTTCCTTTTAGGAGGTATGAAGTTCTTTGTATAGATAAAACGTCTACTGGCTCGCTACTTTAATCTGGAACATGCTCTCAAGTGTTGAAATACGCATTTGTAACAAGTAAAGTACCTGTGTTGTCTTCTACTTTTCCTGCAAAACCTTCTTTTTATTGCATCACGCTTAATTACTGCTAATACAGTAATGATTACTGCTGGCAACACAAGGAGGAAAAAAATAAGCAGACCATCCCGAAGTGATGTATCTAGAGAAAAAGAATTGAAATCATGTAAAATAGTAATCTAATCTAACCTCATATTAAAGCATTTTTTCTGTTAAAACCACCTTTCTGTTGTAAAAACTACAATCTTCAAATTATTATAGATTAAAACTAGTAACTCCACTGAAATTTATTAAATGGTATGATCAGAAAAGTAAGATTTGGCCTGATGCTATTACAAGCTCTTTCTGCCTTCACCACACATTGTATGATCTACAAACTTTCTCCTTTTCTATATATTTTTTCAAGAATTCTAAAGCAGACAAATGCATTCTGTATTTGCTGATCTGAACGTCTTCTTTGCTTTCCTAATACTTTAATAAATACAAAACATTTTTTCCCTTTCCCAAAATAAAATTAAGTAAAATTTGCTAAGATATGAATTGTTTGTTGCCTCACAAAGCTACAGATGATGAACTTTGCGTGTAAACAAAGAGAGGGAAAACATTTTGTGTGGTCTCAGTGTGAAGGCCAGCAAAATCTACTCCTTTTTCCCTTTGCAGAATTTCATGGCTCTTACACGAGCCAACTGCTGCTTGCTGCATGCCCCTCCTTAACCCCTCTCATTTCCTGAGAGCCTTTCCATATATAAAGGTTACTAGTTTCATCTCAAGCTATAGTCTTCCCCTGTGACATCCATTTTGTCAGAACTCTGTTTTAAATACCTAAGTAAATATCTAAATATCTAACTATTTAAAAATGTAGCAGTAATTTATGTATTGCTTTTAATTTCAGTAATTTAGTGTACTGCTTTTTATCTCAGACAAAAGAGAGGTCAAATTCTCCTTTGGACCAACTTCCTTGATGTCTGCAAATGTACACATCAGATATTAATGTTTGTTCTTCAAGTCAGTCCACGTTTAAGTGTCCCGTGCAAGTAGAAAAAAACAGTTTAAAAAAGACTGAATCCACCCACCCCCCCCCATGTTACTAGTAGATTATTTTATCCGACACCTATAAATGTGTTTTTTTCACACAGAACAAAGGCCAGCTGCACTGTCCTACCTATGTGAGCTGGACCACTGTCAACGCTGCCGCCGTAGCCTGACTGGTTGCAGAACGGCGGTGCCCATCCAGAGTTGCAGTGGCAGTTCCCGTTGTTGTTACACACCTGCAGGCAATACAACAGGGATTAGTCAGAGGAACAACACCTTTCTGGAAGTGGCCACTTTCAACTCCACTATATGTTTGGAGTTGCACATTAAGAATTGCTCGTGGAAACAAGAAGTACTGCCTATTATTACATGGAAATACATGAAGTATTAACTGGAAATAAGCTCTCCCCCCCATAACATCCCAAAACATCAAGTGATACTGATACCAGAAGTTCATCCTGTATGGAAGTTAATCTTTGTTTTGTTATTTGCCTGCAATAGATTACAATCCAAAGAACTCAATTTTACAACCTTTGGACTCCATTTTGATTTTTCACAGAGATGTATAAATCGGGAATCACTAGACTGTCCTCAAAAGAATATTTTCCTTTTATAATTCAACCGATCAGTAATAGAAAAGTCCCTAGGGAAATTCAGAAGCAATGTCTTTCAATGTTAGTGCTAAGAGGTTTACAGTATACTGGCAGCATGAATTACAGATAAAAAAGTGGACTTAACCCTTAATACAGATCAGAAAAAAACAAAGCCATCTGGCTGGTTATTGCATTTATGCAGGGATTTCACACCTATCTCTGTCTTCTAGAAACAGGACATGAAAGCACCATCTACTCACCCCATTATCATTACACTTCTGCTTTACATCACAGCTGTAGCCCAGATGACTTGCATCAACACATTCAAAATCTACACAGGCCTGGGAAAAGTAATTAGTGTCTTTCAGGCACAAAACTTCAAAAAATCCTGTCCTTTTATAAATATAATGTATAAATGTACATGTTTACAAGTCTACAGCTTTTATTTAAATGCCAAGAAAAAGGTCTGATAAAACATTCAGTACTTCACAATTTTACAGCCTTACTTGTCTCAGATTTTCTTAATTCTGTGGATGCATTTTGATGGAGTAATGTGAATAACTGATAATGTAGTTCACTGATTTGTAGCATCCCAGGTTTTGAAGAGTTAATTAAATGTTTGTACATGTATATCTCAAAAAAGCAGATTTTTAATTATATTATGGCATACAAATAAGAGCTATGTAATGCTTTTGAAAGTTAAGAACTTTCCAGTTGGTGGAATACATTCCGTAATGCTGCTGTGATTCATCGTACCTTCTTTTCTCCACAGACTGTTCCATCATGAACTTGAGCAGGATCAGGGACGTCTGATCCTAAGTCAAAGTCAGAAGACCAGCATAAAACCCCAGATGCATTATTGACAACACTCCAAGCAGGAAGGTTTTGAAGACTAACAGATGTGCACTGGAGCTTGCCGCACAGACTATGCCTGTATTGAATGAATGACACTCAGAGACAAGGTGAACAGAAGAAAACAGTATCAGTGCAAATACACCATCCAGTTGAACTTTTTAGCTTGTATTTCAAGGAAACACTCTTTCAAATCTCAGGCTCTAAGAATTTGCAACAGAATATATTTTTTAGACTGAATATTTTAGGGTTAGCTTTTATTTGCTGGTGACTTACTGAATAGGACATTTCTTGTATACTCCACCTCTCATTCCACAGTTTCCAAACCTATCTCCTTTAATATTTGCTCTTTCAAAGCATACATCAGGTGCTTTTCGTGCCCCTGTACAAAAAATAGTGAATCTTAGTAAGCCACTACACTGTCTTAAAAATATGAGAACGAAAAAGAAAAATCGGAAACATCTATTAGGAGACTATAAGTCTTCTTACATTAAATTACAAACATACCTTTTCCATATATAGATTCACATTGTGAATCAAAACTCTGGCATACTCCATAGTAGCAATAAGCCTTCATGTTGTCGCATGGGTAACCATTCATGATATAAACGTCGTCTGGGCAGTAGGCATTGCTTCCATTGCAGTATTCAGGGAGATCACAGAAATCCATTTTCGATCGGCACTCTGCTCCTGCCACTTTAAACTAGAACCAGAGAGGAATGCCACCCTACTTTTACTCTGCAACAGTGGAAGTTCTAACACGAAACAATGACAGCTGGGAACCCTTTGTGATTTTAAGGAAGACAAACCAGTTTTTCAGATCAATATCTAACAAATATCCAAAACTTCCCTCAGTTTCATATGGTGTAGCTATAAAGTTTATGTGCTGAGCCTGCAGAGGACTTGGGTAGATCATACAGATGTGTACACAAGTACAAATTAAAAAGCAGGCCAACTATCACAGACTTTGGAGAAGCTTGGTGTTGCATAATGGACATCACTACTACTGAGTCCCCTGATCGCTTCTCCCTCCTATGAGGGATGACACAGAGATGACATTCCATTTCTAAGCTACTGGCCAAGAGTTGTTAGACGCAAATTCTCTGCTTACATGCTCTCTATTGGCGAATGTAGTTTGATAATGTGAAAATACGTCAAGAGTACTGTGATAGTTCTTCTCAAACATTAAAAAATACTAGTAAATAGTATCCATTTAGCTTAATAAAACATAGCCTACCTTGCAGTTTTTACAGCACAGTCCCTGAGCGCACTGTGATCCAGGTGTGAGTTTGCAGGTTGCAGCATCACAGCAAGGGTTAGTACATTCCTGAAGAACAGCCACGGACAAGGGGACACAACGTTTTTACCTCGCTATGGAGCTAGGAAAGTACATCCTCAAACCAAGTGTACAGACAAACCAAACTTTAAATACACCGTCTCTCTTGCATGTTCTGAGGTTGACAGCCTTCTGCTCTAACAGAAACCAGCACAGTTTGGCTGTATTTTTTAACCAGAAGTCATCAGAAATACATCTGTTTTGATGTGTTGTGGCACAGGGGTATAGGATAAGTTTATACTAAAAGAAGCAGAACACCCTGTTTTTTAAATAACACTTCTTATCATCCCTTCCCTCATTTTTCTACTACACTAGCATTTTGATGTAGCGAAATGTTGGTATCTTTTAATGACTTAGCAGAAGGCCTATATGGTGGAACCCGAGTTTGCTGACAGCTTTTTGATTTATTGGTGTCTTTTTTGAGACAACTTTATTTTCTAAAGAATGAGTCAATATTTCCTATTATTTGAGGGACATTTTGACAATGCAAATACAAAAGTAATTTTGTTGTGGGTAAAGTTTAAGGATTACAGTTAGGAAACCTGTAAGTGCTCTATAGACGAGCAGTCTCTTTTATGTAACAAAAATATCCACGTTGCTAAAACCAGCACAAACCTCAATGGTGTTTCCACATACTGTGCACTGAAATGCTCTTCTTGCTTAGGCTCAAAGTTCTGTGAAGTCCAGTGGCCCTTAACTGAGTTCATATCAAAATCAAAGTATAATTTTAGGCTTTTTCTAACACCTATCTTCATATTGCTTGCAAAAAATGTAAATTTACAAGAAAAACTCCTCAGACATTAATGCAAATCAGGTATACCAAAAGGCCAGTGTTATACAGTCAAGAACTCAAACAGGCTAACCCAGGGAAGTGGTGGAGTCACCGTCCCTGGAGGCATTTAAAAGGTGTGTAGATGTGGTGCTTAGGGACATGGTTTAATGGTAGATTTGGCAGTGCTAGGTTAATGGTTGGACTTCATGAAAAAGGTCTTTTCCAACCTAAATGCTTCTGTATCATAACACAACACAACACACAACAAGTATCCAGTTGAATTTCATTCATTACCTGCGGTTTGCCACAGTCACATTCTTCATTGCTATCAACCACATTATTACCACAGACAGGTTCCTTGTAAACATTACTTGTCTTGGGAGGATTTCTAAGGCAGTTTCCACCTCCATTTAGAATAAGGTTCTCAAAATCATCAGCACTGCAGGTGCTGAAATTCCTGGATCCACTAAAAAGCATAATATTATCTTTTTATTTTAAATATTACAGGAGAAATACAACTCAAGCCCTTAAAATACTGTCAATCTATAATAAATACTGTGTTTCACAGCATTAGGAGATCATGAGATACTTAATTTTTACTCCATTTTGCATTAGAGTACAGTACCAGAAGTTAAAAATACTATATATAAACATAAATGCAAGTACTTTCAGAAGAAAAAGAGATCATCAGATTATCCATTCTGCTGTCTTATGTAAAACAGGCCTTAGAAATTCCTTGTCTGTACTGAATCTAAAAATGCTTGATTAAAAAATAATTTCCAGAAAGTCATTCACCTTAACTTGGAGTCCCTAAGGACTCAGGAGTGCTTCTTCTTACAACAGTTTTGTCCAGCGTTCAATTACCCTGATTTATTACTACAAATGCAGATACATAAATAATATGATCATCTTCTCTTAAGAGGAAGCCAAAGAACAAACAAACTGAAAGAAATCTAGGCTGATAGTTTTTGTTTAAATTAACTGTTGAGAGAATCTGTGCAAAGGTAGCATGTTTGCACAAACCCAGTGAATATATTTAAATCATTCTCAGGAGGGTTAAAAAAAACAAACCAACATACTATCATTAAAAAACCCCACAATTAAGAAAATCCAAATAAGTTTTTAGAAATGCTACAACTAAAGAATGACTGAAACAGAAAACAGGTAACATTTCAAATAAATTAAAATGATGTCAGGACCTAAGTTAGTGAATTCACCTTTGTGGTTAAACTTTTCAAACAACTCCCCATTTACAAAAATTTTTCAAGGTTCATGAGAGTTTCACAACTTATAAGGCATAGTCACTGCAAGTCAGTAACAGTTATAAAAATAAAATAAATGGAAATCTTACTTATCTGTGCTGTGCATAATATAGGATGCAGGACACCTTTTATCATCATGTTTCATTCCAAGATTATGCCCCAATTCATGTGCAACTACTGTAGCATGACGTAACACATTGTTATGATTCAACTAATAAAAAGAATCAATGTTAAAAAAATATAAAACTAAAGACATTACTAAATTTCTACCTACTGGTTTATTCTAGCCGGAAGTCTCTCAGAGGCTATGGAGACAGAATATTAAATTGTACTGCAAAGCCGAAGCAGCAAGAACAGACAATTTGTCACTGTTTTTTTAGTAGGACCAGATTCTGCTACTCCTATTTCTTCCATTAGGATCATATTCTGAATAATGACACAATTAATCAGTCACGACACTGATTTCAATGAAGTCTTCAAAGACAAAAGGGCACAGACTGTTAAAGAACAGAATCTGCCTCTAAGATTGTCCATGATATTGTGGCATCCATATTGTAAGGACGGGAACCTCTGGAGATACTGGTGCTGCCTCCACGGTGAAGGGGGAAAAAAATCTAGTTTCTGGCTAATTTTGCCAAATTTAAAATTCGTGCCCTGTTACAGCTTCACTGTGGGGAATTCCAGACACTTTAGAGTGCATTATGTTCACTGTCTATGCATTTAAAGAGTCAAAATATACGCAGTATTTTGTAGCTGCATTCCCATCCCAAAACCACTGTGCTTATGAGCCTTAATGGTACAAGAATGGGCTTTTCTTACACAACCTTGAGCTAGCTGAATTACAAAAAGGTGATTAAAAAATTATGACAGAAAATTATGAAGATAGAAATTAGGAAAAACATTTTTTTTAATATAACAATTTGCAAAACTCTTTACATCAGAAACCCTATGAAAGAAACTGTACCACTCCAAGACCTGAGTGACTTTAGCAAATAGGTCAACTAATTGCACATTATTCATTCAAGACGTTCTGGAAGGTATCTCTGTGGTAGCAATGTCTGGCAATAGCAATAGCAACAACTCCGAGTTGTGTAAATGCACAGGGGAAAGCTTTTAATTGGTCAGGTGCCTCTTGCTCTCACCAGCAGCCCATCTATGATGGTTTAGCAGCTCTTGTGCTGCTTTTTTTGGTAACCACAATATCATGTACTTACAGTGCTGATTGACCCTCCCTGGACTTGTGAGCAGACGGTACCTACAAAAGCCATTCCAATGGATCCATCGTAAGAGCTTCTCCCTCTGCAACAAAAGCAATTTGAAGATGGTGTTGAAAGAGGACCTAAAAGTTCATGATTTCTACTAAAAGACACTGATGAGTCTGAAACAAATACTGCAAGTCAAAAGTTGGTCTTCTTGAAGTCAAGACAACTTTATCATTATATCAGGGTTTCACTGTAATAAATAATGACCATCCAAATACCAAAGCTTGGAAATAATGACCAATCACTAAAAATCTGCTGTGTCAGTGCTTCTAAGTTCACAGAATCACAGAATGACTGAGGTTGGAAGAAACCGCTGGAGGTCATCTGGTCCTACCCTCCTGTTCAAGTACAGCCCAATGGAGTTGATCATCTATAAAGAATTCATTACACTTTCTTGACATTTTTCCAGGTTAAAACAGTTTGGAAATTGAGTGCATTTTACTCCAGTTACATTTTCATTTGTACAGAAACCAAAAATCATATACATTGGCAACTCTGGCAGCATGGCTAGTTTTTCCACTGAACGTACAACACTTACATTATGAGATGGCTAACGTCATTTCGTGATCGTTTAAGAAGATCATTCTGTCTCCAAGAAACAAATCTACTCAGTACATCTCCAGCTGAACCATCCATTACAGGTATGTGGTTTGTATCTGTCCAGATCTCTAATCCAACTAAAACAATCTGGATGTTTAATGCTCTATACATCTGGAAAAAAAAAAGAATGATAATTACTGTCCATCAACCTGTTTCAACTGAATTATGAAAGATGACATCACTGTAAACATTAAGCTGAACATAATGACTAAGACATAACTTTAGTTTCTTTGACTAATTAACAGTTTGATGTAAGGAAAGAATATACGACTGAAGACAATCTACGTCATGAAGGTATCTAAACATATCTTTCAGTTGGAGAAGTTGAAAAGACCACGTTCATTCATTTCCTTAGCTGTCTTGAGGAGAAATTGGAAGCAGATGATCAGAGAGCTTATGGAATTGTTCACAGTACTGACAGTTTGCTTCATAAAAAAGAACTGCATACATGAGAAACACTCTTCCAGGAAATATAAAACTTACTGGAGACCTCAAGTTCCTGGAGCAGCCAAAGTGTGGGAGCACAGAGAAGTGGTTTAAAAACATACTGCATTTCTCCCTCTGCCTACACCTCTCTAAGACCTGTGCATAGATTCATGAGATGCCTTAAATGTGTTACAAATTGCTGTATAACTTCCAAATACAGTTTCAGAAGATAATTGTTCAGACTTACTGCATTAGCTGTTTTTTAGAAAACTATGATAAAGAAAAACCACTGCATCTCAGCAACATATCTGACCTACCCCATCAACATAATTAATCAGCTCAACTGTTTCCTTTTGCACAGCAACAGGATCAGATTTCTTCAGCAAAAACTGTAAAATATCACATGAGAAGATCAGACAAAAGATTTAACGGTTTAATACAATGTATATAGCATTGGATGAAATCATTACCCTGTTGTTATCCACAACCACAAATAATTCCACATAGCTTTTCTGTGGCAGGACAGCTCGCTTCTTCTGTGAATCAGAAAGCACAGTAAGTTAACATAATTATTAGTAAGTTCAAGGTCTTTTTACTTATCTTTCTCATGATTTTCATTTAATGGATTTATAAAGCAATTATACATTTTTTAATGTGGCCTATCAATTTGCCTTAGATTTCCACATAAATATCTGTATGCCAGTAATTCATTTCTGCTCAGACACTGGGATGTATGAGCTGAATGGCAGTTTTGTGCCTTTCACATCATACCCACAACTGCCTTGGGCAGAGCTCTGCTTTTCTGCTACAGAATTGCTTCAAGCTATGTTAAATCCCATTGTGCTGTTCTTCTGTTTCAGGATGTCCTTAGCAGTACTCCCACCAGTTTGGGGTCCATGAAAATGAAGGCAACAAAGGAGTGGCCTGCCAGGCCGAACCCACCTGCAATGATACCATGCCAAAGCAAGAGCTCTGGAGGCCCTTGGCTGCTGGAACAGACTGAGGAGAAGGCTTGGACTCAAGAGAGAACGGAAAGGTATTTACCCTCAAAACATTTTCCCTGCTAGAGGTACTGTTTGATAAAAACGTGTATTTCACAGACTGCTTCACAAACATCTCCTTGTGATGAAGGCTGCCACTCAGCACACCACATTGGAAGGGGATATCCTGCATATCTTCTAACTGGTAAAACATGTGTTGAAACGTGCTGGATGTGTTAAGCGGCTCCATTCCGTACCATTTGCCACCAATGTAGAGAATTCCTCTAATAATCATAAAAGAATAAAAAATTATTCCACAATTTTCCTCCCTGTGGTTATGACTCGGTGAGTGAATGACAGCTGGATACTTAAAAACTAGAACTCTTCATACCACAATGTTGAAATATTTATTATCTTAAATTATCTTAATATAGGAGGCAAGTTCAAATGCCCAGCAGGATCTCAGAAGACAGAACTTATTTAAAATACTCAATCGTAGACAAGTGTGGGTTCCTTGAATCAGCTAGGAGGAAAGCCGAATTGTTACTGAATGGGTCTGGATTGTGGGGTCTTTTTTAGTCCTTATCTCTAGTCTCACTCCTAGCCCCATGCAGCTAAACTAATCTAGCATTTTAGAAAAAGATACTTTATAAAACAGACAGAGAGGCTGAAAGCAACCACCAGGGTGTTTATGAGGGCAACTGCAGTATTGCACTGCTGAGTGCAGCTAAGTATAAAGATTTTGCATTTGTCCATGCCTCAGAAACACCTGGTACGTGCCCATTTACTGTACCAGAATCTTTCAGAAGCTATTATCTTGTCCTCTGGAATCAAAAAACTGTATTTAGAAGAAGAATTCTGTAGTTCATATCTTGTGAAAGATGATCCTCAAAAACACAAGTATAAGGTAATCAAAGGATGTGAGTCTGCACAAGTCTGCAGAACAGCCAAAATGAAATATCTGTTCTGCTTAGTGAGATCCAGCGTTACCTGAAACAGCAGTATGTTGACCATTTTATTCTTCATTTAAAGGAATGCCAGGAAATGTCATATTTATTGTGAGTGGCATCTCACTGCGATACTATACATGAAAGACATGTGGGTGCACTTTATCCCATTTGCCTCTTCCTGCTTGTCAAAAAAAACATCAAACTGAACAAGGCTACTACAACTGACAAGTATATCCAAAGTGCAGCTAAAGAGCCAAACTCAGTGAACACAGGGGAACATGGACACACTCTAAGCACATTCTGAATATCTGCACAATTTGCTGTGCATGCCATCTCATTTTGCCAAGTCATATGGACTGATTCTGCAGGAAGAACACCACCATCCATTAGGTATTAATCTGGCCCCTTTATGTTTCTCAAATAAATGTAATTTTATTGTATTTGAAACACAAAAAATGTTTCAAATTTAGCCAAAACTTTTTCATGGAAATTGTTTGACTTTTGAAATGTGTCAATTCATAAGACAGAATTGTTTGTAGCAGTGTTTTAAGTTCAATGAAAGATTCATCAGGTAACATTTCTTTTACAAAGATATCTCTGGACAAGACATTAGAATCAAGTAATAAAGGCCTCATTTCACGCTCATATTCTACCTATATTTAGATTATTTTATCTTTTTTCTGTCAAGGAATTTTGGAAAAGGGGATAAAAGTGGTAGTTGAGAGAAACTATAAAATTCAAAAAGACTTTCAGCTTCGTCAAAAGGCAAAATATTAAAAAAATATTTGCAAGATAGGATGGTGTTTTCTCTCCAGCTGTATGATAAATAGCAACTGTTTTTTTACTGTTTTACTTTAGTACCACACAATAAATTATCCTGAAGTAAAAAGCAAGAAATAATACCTAAGGCCATTGCACGTGCTAAGAGCAAGCACTGAGTCAGCAATTCCTTCAACAGTGCCATGATAATAACAGTGTGTCTGAAATACAACAAAACCACATAATTAATGACAAAATAGTGCTGTTGCCTTCAAATGCAAACTTATTTTCTAATTAACTTTTTTATTTGCATGGTATTAAGGCTAGCTGTTACAAATTTACAGACTTCCCTATTCTAAAGTAATCCCAACCTTCCTGGAGTAAAATATTACTTGACATGAGCACCTACAATAGCATTTGGTTCCTTGGTTCTAGAAAACAACCAGATTTTTAGTTTAACCCATCACCATCGTTTAGCAATATCTTTTCATCTACATTACTCATCTTGTTCTTAAACAGACCCCTCTAAAAGGCTGATCTGAGAACATCTCCCATGCACGAAGAACCCAATTAGGTCTCACTGAGCTCATGTGTGGTTTAAAACAGAAATTAAATTAAGAAGTATTTATAAGACTTGTTTGCTACAGGAACTAAAAACCATAGAGCTTTGATGCTGCCATTGTTTGTTTAATTGCATACTATGCAAAGGCGACCTAGTCAGGTAGCTCAAATTCAGTCTTGGCATAATCTCCTGGCATCTTCTTTCACAGCTCGGAAAACAGTGATGCTGCATCACCATGAACAGCCCACTCGCTCATAAGACATAGAACCTTATGTTTTGTGTCAGTGGTAACTGTTGAACAAAAATGCTACAGATGTGAAAACTCACAAAAGCCTATTTCCCAGTAAATATATTTTTCTTCTGTAGATACTTTATGTGCATCACTTGCATTTTCCCTTCCACTGCCAAAAATGTAACCAATTTTCAGTGCCCTATTACAGACATGCGGAGACACTCAGAATTAATGGTTGTGCATTTGCTTTTGCTTTGAAAATTCATTTAGGTGCACTCACATCTTTCTTGTCATTCTCAGTTCTATCAAATTGTTAATATGGCCTTCAAATCATAAAGCTTGGCTTCCCTGGCTTGAGGAAACTAACACAAAAGGGGAATTTTATTATATACAATACCTCAGTTTTTGATTGTGTTGCCTCCAGTTTCCCATTTTTCCCATATGTATATAGCATAAAGTCTTCGCTAACAAGCTTTCTGGAAACAAAAATAAACTATTGCTCTTTTAACAGTCTAGAAAGCAAGAAATAAGTCAAGAATACTCGTAAGTACTACATTCTGTTAGCAGCACACTCATGATAAATTATTATTAAAATCCATGGATGTGAAACAAAATACCTGAAAATGAGCTGCATTATTTGGAAACTAAGTTATTTTGAAACATTATAACTAAAATATCCATAGAGTAGGATCTGAGCAGACTATGTTGCATCAGGTCCTCGACTATTGCAGGCTCAGGAATGAGGAACAACAGTAACAGATAAATTCCTTCAAATACAACACGGCTAACAACCCTCCCCCCTGCTAATAAAGAACTAATGTAGAACTGAATTCTAATTTTTCACAAGGATTTTCTGAAATGTGCTATCTTGTGCTGCTAATTAAAAAATAATCAAAATAAATTTCTTCACAACTAGAAAAAATATTATTCCTTTCTATTTGCAAACTAGTACCATAACAGAGATACTATTTAACAGTCACTTTGTAATTACTACAATCTACCACTGAAATGGTTTCTTTTGAATTTTTTCAGTATAAAAATACTCGTCTATTTGCAGCTAACTCCCAAGATGGTATGATTCCTTAGAACACTCTATCACATACTTATTTTTCTTCAGTTTTAGGAGATACGTTCCATTTCTGGTTTTAACTGAATAAGAAAGATTGTCATCTGAATGCTCCTGAAAACAGAACAAAAGATATCACTTCATCAGCTGATTTTCTACTTGGTTGTGCCAGTTCCATGTTTTGTTTGAAAAGAGAGGTCCAACTACTGTTTTAAGTATCTACCAGAACACAAATTCCTAACGCTCATGCTTTCTATATTTCAAAGTCTCAGTAGCACACTCTACATTCTTTCCTATGGAAAGTGTAAATTCTATCAATGTATAAATTTTCACATATAAGACAGAAGAGCACAGCCCAAGTGCACACTCTTTGCCCAATTATCACACAATATTTTGTGACACTCCTTATGTAAATCATCAGTAGCCGGATGAACGACTCACAGATTCTTCCTTCCTTAATTGGTTTGCACAAAGATGACTAATGTTATTTCAGTAGTAGTTATTTCAGTAACTGAACTCGATATCTAGCACAAAGGTAAATTACCTCAGTGCTGAAGAATTAAGGCTCAGATCTTCCTCTTGTAACTCGTTCATTTAATCTGTGCGACTCTGTGGGACTATTTCTACAAACTGAGCATCAGCCCTTTAGGTGTTGTACGTGGTTGGAATCCTCTGGTTATCCAAAGACCAGATACCATAAGCAAAATAACATATATAGCATGGACACTAGTTCAAGTTCAATACCTCTCTGACTTGGGGGAAATGGAAATATTCTTCATGTTCCTTCTCACTTCTGTCTTATGAGGCTGTTAACAGGACTTGAAGTTTGAAAGGTGCTAACTTAGAGTGCAATCGGATCTTTGTGGGAACAAATTTACTCAAAACTAGTTGAAAACACTAGGAATCTGGAGATAGTGCGAGGCACATTTCTTCACCAAAATTAAATATATCATCCATTGTGTGTGTGTAATATAAGACAGTATTATGAAAAACAGCAACATCAGAAGAAAAAATCAGAATAACAAACCTCATGAAAGAATGGGTCATGTTTCTCTCTGTCTGTCAGACTTCGAGGAATAATTATTTCTAATGTAGAAAGTCTGGATGTCTGTTCAGAAGATACACCTAAAAATAAAGTTTGAAATTTCTGAAGAATCAGAAAGGATAAGTAAGACATTATGTTGGCATCTGCACAGTGGCAATTGCCAAAAGACCATTCTGATCTGGCCATAAATGGAGAAATTTCACCGGTATGCAACCTGACTGCCCAGGCTCAGTTTGGTCTATTCCGTCTGCCAAAACTCTTGGATTATGCTGGGAAAGTCACAGAAGACAGCATTTTCATTCATGGCCAAGTTACTCTTCATTTCTGAGTGTTTTGACTAAATATATGTGGCCTCATTCTCTGCAGAAATGCTGTTTTGACTGTATTCAAGGTTAATGACTACACCACCCCAAACACATCTGATGTGAAGTGCTAAAAACTGCAAATTCGAGAAGTTTTCTTAAACAGGGTGTCCAAAACTGGCTGGCAATCTTGGCTTTAACTTTGATCTTAGTTACTTACATTATAAACTTGGATAATAGCTCAAATGTTTCTAATTCCTTCACATAGACAATATCAAACCAAATTAATTATTGTTTGGAAAAAAAAAAAAAATCCCTCAACCAAGATGACAACAACATAATAGAGAATCCCAAGGGGGAAAAAAAAAAATCCCTTTGTATATTCAGTAGATGCTTTGATAGTGATGAAGAAACAGTTTAGGAATGGTCAAACCTATTTAAAAAAAAGTTACTTTAGTTTAAACCTAGGGTCTTCTGGAGCACACAAAGAAAAACTATCAAATTATTTAAACATCATCTTAATTCTCACATATTCTGGATTATTAACTTTGTACCTCTGTGTATCATTTTTGAAATTTTTTTCTTTCACAACCTACACTTTTAACCTGATGTGCCACAGAAAATTTATGCAGCTTTCTTCTCTGTTCACCTATCTGTTCCCTCACCGTATTTTTTGAAGGGGTTGGCCAGTTAAAATCAACTGTGCAAGAGATGCTAACTTCTCAAATAGAATTAAGTTCCTTCAAGCTTTGTGAAATCACCTTGTCAGTGCCAGGAAGACTGTGCTACAAATCTACAGCAGGGCTCTCTAGGAGGGGCTGATGGACATAGGTTACAATTATCTTGAATGGTGGATCCAACTTTGCCAGGATGTTTCAAACCTTGCTAGGCAGAGAACTGGATAATACTGTATGTCCAGAAGAATAAAGTCAGTCCCTAAATACTTAGGGGAATGGTTTTTACTGGTTACAGAGTCATTTGCTGTAGTCTCGCCTTCTAGCTACTGTTAAGTCCCGCACTTGCTCATCTTCTCCCTCTTGCTCATGTCTCTAACTTCCTCCTGTCCTTTCCTTGATTAAATCAACTCCCCCTTCATCCCTCTCCTTCCATTTAAATCTCTTTACTCATATTCCTTTCCCCATTGCCCTGAATGAGGAATAGAGTTGTCCTCTGGATATAATTCTGCCACCTGTTGCGTGTATAAACTTGGGTCACCACGCTGCCTCCAGCCATTGCCTAACTGCATTTTGTTTGTTCCAGCAACAGTCAAACCTTTGCAAAAGGTTTGTAGCCTTTTACATTATATCAGAGTTATCTCCAGAACGTCATGCTAATGCAGGAAGCTAAAGATAAGAAGCCTGCTGAGTATCAGGTTTCAGGTAAATGGTTTTATAAAGACAAAACCAATCTCCAGTGACTTTTTTTAAGATTGCATAAACTTGAATTCATCTCCTTTTTTCTTGTCTGCTCTTCAATCTAGTCTGAGTGTTGACTTTGATCAAGAGACATAACCATTGCTTTTAAACAGGTTACAGAATCAACAATAACATGGGTTTTAACAATGAAATGGGTTTCTTCCTTCTTAAATTGTTCTTTCATAAGGAAACAAAGAGATTTGTTCTCATTTATAGTAGCACAAAGTCACCCTCAGCCTGCCACGTTTCTGCAAATGGAATTCATCGCTGCAAAGAAGCCACAGAATCACCCATTCAAATTGAGGAGGAGGATTCTTCAGTGTAATGATGATCTCTACCTGTTAGATACCATCAGGATTTTTAAAAGCTAGGTGTAGGTAACCTATGTTTAACATTAAAGACTGCCATTGCGATCAAAATGTGGAAGTTACTATTAGCATACAGGTCTGTAAAGAATATCAACACTTGATATTTACTTCTGACTTTGCTCGTAATCTTCAACAATTTTATTATCTAAATCACAAAATCCATTCTGTTCTGTGAGTTAAGTGCATGTTGGACTAACAGTGGAAATGCAGTTTTAACAATTTAAATTTTGACACCTGAAAGCAGGAAACCATCTTTAATGCAAGTCATAAAAATATCACTTTCTAAGAAATATTTCAGGTGTTACATCTAAATCTAAAATCTGAAGCCAAGTTGTAAATGGAAATGAGTTAATGAGGAACTAAACCAAAACTGTAGGCACTTCCCTCACATTACTGAAGAAGAAATCTTTTTCTACAGCCTCTACTATTGATGAGTGACAGTAACTGCACTTGTTGCCACCAATGTCCTGTATGGAAGATGATGTATTTACATACCTACTACATCCTGGAGAAAAAAAAACACAAAGGGCTCAATTATAAAAAGCTTCAACCTGTAATCTTTTCTAAACACCTTATTCTTGAAGAAGATTTTCTCAATTAGCAGGTCAGCTAATAGCCTAATACCTGGGGAGAGCCATGACTCGAATTGAAAAACGTGCATCATTACGATCAGGACCGCAGAGTACAAGAAGACTTGGAGAAACTTTTTGAATACATAACCAAAACTGAAAGCTTACCTTTTATCCAAAAAGGTTTTCCAGTTAAAGTTAGTCCAAAAGTGAACAAAAATAGGCTGTGTTTTAACATGACTAGATTTCCTGGAGAAACTACTACAGTATCTGAGCAGACACTGTGTACCTGGCTCTTAGCTGCTCTATGCAGGAGAACTAGAAGAACGAGAATCGTCTGCTCCGAAGGTAAACAACAGAAAAAGCACTCCGATACTGCATCTCTGCTAAGGAAATGGGAAGTAAAATTTAATCCATTAGGCTTGCAAGAAAACTGGTTAGACAGCTTAATGCAAATAAAAAGCAGCACGTTCTTAAATGCTGATTGGAGAAAGAGCACAAACCTATGCCAGGATCAAACTGGTTTATTCTAAAGGACTTTGATACCACAGTGAGTTAATACAAGATTAGAAATAAAACACTGTTACCAGTGGATACAATGTTTAGGATGTTTATACTGGCTATTGTCAGTTTAGTAAATAGCTCTAATATAAACCAATCTACTCTATGAAATTTCAGCTTGTTGTTTTCCAATTTTTCGTCTTTAAAAATATCAAAAATACTATGCATATGAACACATGGAAATCCCACAAACACATAGAAATCCCCGAAACAGGGATCTTACCCAGTCCCTTCTATGTTAAAGACAATTCTCCTTGCCAAAAGTCTGTAATTTTGCGCAGCTCATCACTCTTCCAGGATCAGAACAATCTTCCAAGGCATTGTGCAACCACATTGTCACCAAAACCAGAAAATAAACGCTTCTAAAACTGGATGAATTTGCAGTGCATTTTAGAAGTATCAGGCACAGTGAGAAACTCAAAAAGGAGACTGAGACCACACAGTTTTCATGCTAAGATATTTACATTAATTAATTTTAATTAATTCATTAAAACAAGAGCAAATCCGTTTTTCCATTGCTAGCAAATGACATAGAACAATAGCTTAAGTGAAAAAAAGAAGCAGAGATGACGACTGCATTTGTAATCTTAGCTTCCACAAAGCCCGCTCAAACCCATCTTCCTATTTTCACAGACCTAGTTATGGCTCCTCAGCCCAGCGCCAAGCCCCAAACCCGATATCCGCGTTGCCTGGGTTTGCGTCTGTACCGCAGTGCCCGGAGCAGCTTTCCCCGACTCCAGAAGCTGGGATCCTACTGAAAATTAAATGAACCCAATCTTTTATTTATAGTCTCTCTCTTATGTGGCACGCTATTAGCATACAACTTTGAAGAGAGCATTCCGCTGCTCCAAATGCTATTTTACCAACTTCCGCGGCATCGATGTGCTTTTAAGGATTCTCCAGCTCTCCGATTGAGCTTTATTTTATTAGAAAAAAAAAAAAAAGGACCGATAAGTACCATTCGCCCACGCTGCGGGTGTTATCTCGAACGCCTCGCCGCTCCCCTCCGCGCCAGCCCTCGCTCCCCCCGGGAGGGCGGGAAAGCGGGACGTGGAGTGGGTGATGGGGGGGTCCCCTCAGCCCGAATCCCCCACCAGCCCTTAAGGGCGAAGCGGGGCGCAAGCTCCTGGCAGGGGGATCCCCCATTTGCCAACCCCCCCCCAACCCCTCAGGGCCACTTCCCGCCGCTCCCTCCGACCCCTTTCCCGCCGCCCCCGCTCCCACACCGCGCATGCGCAGCAGCAGCACCGCCGCTTCGCGCAGGCGCGTCGGGCCGCCGCCGTCGCCGCCGCTCGGTTCCCGCCCGCGGTGCTGCCATGGCGAGCGGCTGCGCGGCGCCGGAGGCTGAGCCGCCCGGCGGGGCCCGGGAGCCGTGCTGCGTGGCGGCGGGGTGTTCGTGGCCCTGCGCGCCGCCGGACGGCTTGGCCCGGGCGCTCTGCCTGTGGCGGGAGGCGGGCGACGGTGAGGCCAGGTGAGGCCGGCGGGCGGAGAAGGGAGGAGGAGGAGGAGGGGACCGCACCGCCCTCCCGCCCGCCCTTGGGCTCTCCTCAGGCGGCTGCGGCGTGAGGGAGGCGCCGGGTTGGGGTGGGAGCGGGCAACACGGCCGTGGCGCTTCCCCCCTCACACCCCCCCCCCCCCCCCCCTCGCAGCACCGAGGCTGTCGTCGTGGAGAGGCGGGCGGGCGGCGGGGGCCAGGCGCCCTGCGAGCTGCGCCTGGAGTGCCGGCCTGCCGGCGCCGGCGAGATGGTCTCCGTCGGTATCCTGAGCGAGGCCCGGAACATGGAGGTGTACGTGGGCGAGGAGTACTGCGGGACCGGCCGGGGCGAGAGCCTGGGAGCCCACCGATCCCCAAGGTGAGTGGCGGGCAGCGCGGTGGGGGGGGGGGGGGGTTTGCGCCTGGATCTGCAACACCGCCTGGCTTCTCTCTCTCTGGCAACGTCCTTCTCTGGGTGTCAGTGAGGTGCTCCTTGTAGTAAAGACCAGATGCGCGCAGCGCGGAAGCCGCCCGGGTTGGTCTTTCTTGAAGGCATGTGCAAAACTGGTGACCGGGCACTACAGCTGCCTGGGATAACCCTGGTGTACTCCAGTTAGCGGTGGCTTGTGCAAATGCTGTCTCTTTGATAAAGGTAATAAGGCTAAAGTTAGGCTAGCTACCTCTTTGTTGTAATTAATGAAACACTTAATTCAGTAAGTTGTAAAACTCTGAAGTTCTGTTGCGTAAGACTGGGAGGACTTAGGACAGCTGCAACTTTTCTGTATCACTTGACCTTTCTGGACAACAGATGTGCTCTCTCTTCAGTAGACTTCTTTTAGCTGATCTTTACCAGATCTCTTGTCTCTTTGGCACATAGTCATCTCACACTTTTAAGAACAAGAGAGAAAATAAAAAGGGAAAGATTTATTTTCTCCTTCAGTGCTTCCTTCCATGCTTTGTCAGGGGAGTTAAAACATTGTCTTCTCTTTTGTTTTTAAGTCATTGCATGGCACATCTGCTGCTTAATTAGATAAATAAAACCGGCCAACTCAGAGCCTCAGGGAAGATGTGTGGATAACGTACTGAACAAGCTTCTCTAGTAGATAATGTAGGTACACATACAAGTCCTTTTTTACATACATATCTGATAATATTCAATACAAGTTGCATATAAGCATTAAAACTGCTATATCACATTAGAAATATGTTCCAGCCAGTCATGTTTCTTGCCTAAGTAATTACCTATATAGAGTATTTCTGCTAACGTACTTCATATAGTGATGTCACAACTCCTTATTTTTCTAGTGAAACTGAAAAGGTGACTTTATACAAAAAGTACCTTAAGTTCGAATGCCCTGCAGTCTCCTGTAGAATTAAGGTAAGGAGTTGAACATAATTGTCTTATTTTTCGCTGTCCTTTTAATCACTTAATTGACTAAACTGCGTTGCTCTTAGATTATTGTTTTTATACACTTTATTCACTTAATCACTTAAAAATGTTAGATGGTACTTTGTCTTGATAGCAGAGTTGTTTTAAATTTGTACTACAGTTTTCCTCTTATGAAGACTTAGTACTTATGTGAGGGGGATAATATAGTCTTAGAGGAAAAAAAGTTCATAAACTAGAGAAGCTGCAGATAATCAGCAGTTGCTGTGTAATTAGAACTGTTAACTCTGATGTGGTTAAATAACCTTATGAAAATCTCTATGGCCACTGCTCTTAAGTGCTTAGAAGATCAAAGCCTGATTTATCTTTGCATCACGCGGGTACCTCTTCCAGCCAGAATTTTCCAAAGAGTAATAGCAAGGAGAAATCAGCATAACTTCTCTGGAAAAGAGTTCAGCATTGTTATTACAAGACGCAAAATATAATGCATTGTCCCATACATACAAAAAAACATGAAAATATTTTTTTCCTAACCAGAACATTTTTTTCCTTCTTGTAATAGCTGCTCTCCATTGGTGAGAAACAAAGAGTACTCATCAGTAAAATAATTGTACAAGTGAAAACAGTGTCTGCAAAACTAGCAACTGATTTTCCTTCACTAGGCTCAAGCATAGATCTAGACAGAGTGCAAACTATAATGGAATCTATGGGATCTAAGTTGTCTCCTGGTGCTCAGCAACTCATGGACATGGTCAGATGTCAGCAGAAAGTAAGTCACTGTGCTTTTTCGTAAACATAAGTAGTACTAATCTGTGACCTTACCTTTTGTAACAGTTAAACATGTTCTAAACTGATTTGGTGAAAAAGACTTTTTTTTTTTTTTTTTTAACCCACACTTCCTGCCAGTTTAATCCTGGTTTAGCTATCGTCACCCTTAAATGAGTGCAACGAATAAAGATTGTGTACTCAGGGAACCACTGTGCATACACCAAGTCCAGAGTTAAGAACTCTGTATCATCCTAATTTTAAATTTTACTGCCACCCCCTACCCTCCTTTTGTTCATTTCCACTGTCACTGCTTATTAAGGATGGTGGGCATGTTCCCTGTAATGTTTGGGCTGTAAATAGATGGGCTAGTGTGTCTCCTTTATGGTTATTAAAGCAAATCACCTTCAACCAAAGGGAACATGGTCTTACAGAGCATTTATTTGTTTTTGATCCTAATCCTGCAAAGTGGGCTGTTTCAAGAGCATCCTGAATCCATCCGTTGTTAATGTTCAGTCTTGGGGAAATAGCATGGTAGAAATGAAGTCAGTAAAACTGTTTTGTTACTTAGAGACTGACAAGATAACACATAATATATACAGGGAAAATATTTTCCTGTGCTTTTGCCTAAGAATATAATTCAGAACTAATTTTAAAATCTTTACCTTACAGTAGTAGAATGCTGATTTATAAAATATCTGTTGTTATTATTGTATAATTTCCAGTATATTTTAATAATTAAACATTAATTGCATTGTTTTTCTTCCCATCAGAACAGTTTACCTCTTGGAGACAAACTTAATTGGATCTTTGGGAAAAATTCAGACTTTGGTGGTGACCATGCGGTAGTTGGATTGTGCAGTGCAGCTATTCAGACGTCACTAGATCAATCAGCCAGTGAACCTTTGCCTGTTAAAAATCATTCAACAAGTGAAACAGTATATGAACACTTAAAAATAAGTCATGATCCTAACGTACAGGTACCTGAAAGAGGGAATGCTTCTGATTCTGAAAGACTTACTACCCAGCAAAATACAGTTGACCTCAGAAATTATTTGAAAGTCATGGGATCTTTGCATATGCAGGAACAAGTGAGCAAAACCCCAAATGTAGCTAATCCACAGGTGCTTCTTCCTTTTCTTCGAAACTTATGTAGTCAGGTAAATCATCTTCGGCTAAAAGATGGTGATAGGCATTATGGTAAAAATGCAGTGACTAAGGAGGAAGACATTCAGTGTGTTGGGTAAGTTAAGTTTCATACATGTATTAAAGTAGTAGTTCGTATTTGTTGATAAATTTAAAAAAGTAAAATACATAACAAACGTTTCTCATTAACAGCAGTAGTGAATCTTAAAATATGTGGTTTTGAAGGCTGTGTGACGAGGAACACAAAGACAATGAATTTTTCAGATGAGCTGCTTGAGTATTGGAGTTTTTTCAGAAGAAATGACCACATCATTTGCTGTTACTAAACTGTCTTTTGTCTCCGTTCCATCTTTTAAGATTTCAAAAATGTGTTCTTTCTTCAATTTCGTGTACATCTAGTTTCTCTTTCTCGTGTTACTACACTTTAATTTTGACTGCTTCTGCCTCCTAAATTCTTACCTCTTTTCACACTATGTGCCACGATCTTTCTGCTGTACTTGG